GGAGAGGAAAACAAAGCTAAGCTCCATTAGGGGCGATTAACCAGTTAAGACTTACCAGTAAACACAATATCGAGTGGCAGTTGAAGCAGGCCAATATCATTTTGGCCCGTTCTATAAGAGAATTCCCTGTGAAACACCGAATTGCTGACACTGTACTCTACGACAGGGAGCGATAGGTTATATGCTCCCAATCTCACGAATCTGTGGGCAATATTATTATTTTATATTATTATATAATATTATCATTAATATTTTTTATAGTGAGCTTAAGTGTGCTTACAGATTGCCCTGATCTTTAATGCAATGAGCGGCGGTCAACACAAATCCTGAAAGAAACAAAATAATTTTCTATTATTTATTTATTAGTATATAGTATATATATATATGTACGTTTGTGAATCACAGTGCCGCCACATAGAAAATTTGTTTCATTACGAACGCCTGCCATCCAAGCAGCAGCCTTCAGTTCAGCGTTTTCGCCATTCCAAACTCTCATTCCCGTTGAAGTTTTGCAGTGGTCATCCAAGAGTCGTGCAGAGCTCCTTTGAATCAGGATCCCGATGGTCAAACTCGTCCAAAATAACGTCTGCATCTTTCTGGCAGCTGGATGAAACTAAATCGAGCTGAGTGCGATGCGACAAACGAAAAGTGTGCCAAAACAGCTTATCAGCGTTTTTAAATTTGGCATTTCTGATTCTATGAACAATTTTGTTGTCTCACCTTGCCTTATCGATCTTTCAATAGGTCAATGAGCTATTTTAAGTAGGTTTTTTTTTTAAATTATATGTATATGTACATATATACCATATATACATATATGTACTGACGTCTGTGAATCACAGTACCGCCACATAGAAAATCCGTTTTATTAAATACGCCTGAAATTAAAGCAAGAGCCTCCGGTTTGTCGTTGTTACCACTCATAATTCTCCTACTCAGGAAGTTCCGCATGGCTCGACTAATAGTGAGAATCGACTGTTTTCTATTAAGAACTTTTATAGACCGATTTTATAGGCCGATAAAAAACATGGTGGTGTGTGGGATGGAAGTCTTGAAATATTATTAAAATTCTTACCATAGCTACATTGCCAGTGTTACATTGTACTGAAATTTAAATATATAATACAAAAATTGGCCATATCGTTCGTCTATATCATATATGTACCTGATGCAGTTACAGAAGAGCCATATGTAAAAAATTATGCAAAAATGTTAAAAAACAACCAAGTTATAATTTGTTTCTAAAAATGTATAGAACATTTGTATGCAGCTATATGATATAGTAGCCCGATCCGGCCCGTTTCGACATATATAGCAGTGAGAGTATATAGAAGACTATATGCAAAGTTTCATTCAGATAGCTTTAAAACAGGGACTAATTTGCGTTGAAACGGACAGACGGACATGGCTAGATCGACTCGGCTGTTGATGCTGATCAAGAATTTATATACTTTATAGGGTCGGAAACGTCTCCTTCACTGCGTTGCAAACATCTGACTGAAATTATATTACCCTGCAAGGGTATAAAAAGTGTTTCGTTCCTTAAAGAATAAGTGCCCCAAGGTACTTAGGAGAAGTTTTTATTTTTTAAATTTTTTCCTGATTTTTTATCCAAATTGGAAGTCAAAACCCGGATTTTCAACTAAAAAATTAAGTTAATTTGTAAAAAAAAATATATTAACATTAATAATTTAAAAAAGCGTAAGTACCTGTACAATTAAATTTAAAAGTTATGTTCAAAATTTCAAACCGATTGGTTAAGTAGTTTTTGAGTTATCAAGTAGACCGGTTTTCAAAATGGCATTTTTCAGGAGAGCTTTAAAGTTTGTGATACTCATACATCGAACACCAAACTACCTCCGTTCAACTACCCATAACTTCGTCAATTTTGTAATAATCTGTGTAAAACTTTGACACAATATTTTTAAGATATGGGCATTTCCATGGTGTCGCACGCGACATTCGTACGCATTCAAAGCAAAAAAAAAGTATGGTAAATTTTATTTTTATTTCTTTTAAAAATATTAATTTATAGCTCTTGCCAAGGGCTATAATTGGTGTTATTATTGATTTTGAGTGTATGCTCAAATTTAAGAAATTAAAAAAAATTGAAGGGTTCGCACGCGACAAAAACAGAAGTCACTTTACGCGGCGAGCTGTTTAAACACTGATTTTAGCGAAACGGCTGGGAATATTTTAATGAAACAATTTTTAAAATGTTATGCGATAATGTCAATTTCATATGCTTTTATTTACAATCAGAAATTTAGCGTAGTTTATTTTTTATTTAATTTTAATAAGGTGTCGCACGCGACAGGTCGCACGCGACAGTTTTTATCATCATACTTTGCATGTAATTTTTTACTATTTAAGTAAATTAGAAGAGCATATATCCATTTTATTTCGACTTTTTGCATTCTTCTTGTGATGTTAGTAAACAACAGTCAAAGCATAATGCCTCGGTTTGGATGTAATTATCAAAAGAAAACAGGCCCATTTTTATGATGTTTTTCATTAAAATAATGAAAAATCGTGTTTGCGCGAATATGCATTCGAATATTTCGAAATTTGTTTTAGAATATGATAAAGCCCTTCAAATTTAATCAATTGACCTTTTCCTAATGTTACTATGTTGGAAAAAAAATATTTTAGAGAAGTTTTAGTCTTTTGGCCGCGGTTGACATTTCTATGGAAATGCCCATATTAAAACTTTATTAAAAAAAAAAAAAAAAACGAAAAAAAAAATTGTAAAACCTTTCCCTCACCTGTGTTAGTATTTTTAAGATTATAGGCAAATGGCAAATTTCGGCAAAATTTTTTTTCACATACCTTAAAAGCCCGACAAACACATTGGCATACATATGAACTGTAGATTTTTGTGGGGTTACAACTATACCTTCAGCTAAACATAAAAAATACGTTTAAAATATAGAGCAGAAACATGATTATTTCACATTAATATAATGGAACCAATAATTATTATTAATATATAAAATTATATCTCATTTTAAAGAAAATACCTTGAACTTCAAAATCCATTACAAAAAATATTAATTTAGACACGTAATAAACGATCGGACCACTTTAAAGATCGGTTTGGTTGTGATACATTCGCGATGCGCGTAGCTGCGCTTTGCAGATGAACACATGTTCACATCTTCAATTCAATTTTTAGAAAGTCCTGTTAGATTTCCAAAAAAAAATCTGGTATGACACAAAGAAGTTTGGATATTTAAGAGACGATTTTTTTACTTTTCGTACATTTTTGTTGTAATAATTTTTTTATTTTTGGCCTATGGGCGCAACCACTGTGCACTCGTAATTCTGATACTCAGGGAAGTCCCACATGGTTCGGCTATTAATTATATTTTTACAAATATAACTAAGAATTCGGTTTGTTTTTAATGATTTTATTTACCAAACGAATCACGGTACGAGTTCGTTCTTCCTTGTATACACAAAAGATCAATGCTTTCCATGCGTAAAAATTCGCAGTTACAAAAAATGAGCTGGAGAAAACGATAACATTAAAATTGAGTCATAAATATTAAGCAAAATTGTCAAAATTCTGAAAAGACAAAAGATACACCACAATAACAAAGGAATAGCTTTAGATGGCTTCAAAAATTTTACCATGAAAACAGTAAGACAGCTTGAGTTTATTAATAAATATATACAAAACAGCAAGTATCATTGATGAATAAACTGAATAAACCTATCAAGGGGGGATCATGGGGTAACATTTATAAAAGTCTAGTAAAACATCGAAAATTACGTTTACATAATACACAAAAAAGGTATAATAAATCTAAAATACACAAAAAGTAAAAAATTAATCAAATTAACTATATAAAAAGAATTTATAAAAGTAAATACCTAAACGTCTATAATTCATTTAAAATAATCAAATTTGACGATTCAAGGCAAAACAGAACTCCGCTGTGCTGAACATGGACATGAACGCTCTCTCTCTCTTCGCATTATATTTTAGATATCCGGACAAAGAAATTTCGACAATTTAGAGACAATTTGGCTACTTTTCGCAAATATTTGGTGACTTTTTTTTATTTTTTACTTATGGACGCAACCACTGTGGGAAAAAGCTGCCGAGAATGGGTATATGTATGTAGATCCCCAATCCATCGAATGATCTAGAAGCAGCATTTTTAATTGAAGGTCTTACGGGCATTGTTTGGCGATAGCTGTCAATAAAAAACATAATGGTGTGTAGGATGGAGGAAACATGTAAACATGCCTGCCATCCAAGCAGCAGCCTCCGGTTCAACTTTCTCGCCATTCGGAATTCTCAAATTTGCTACATTTCCGCAACGGTCTCCAATAGACAGGTAGAACTGCTTTGAATCAGGACCCCGAAAATCAAACTCGACCATAATAACGCCAGCATCTTTCTGCGATGAGTGCGATAAGACTAACGAAAAGTGTACAAAAGCCGCTTATCAGCGGTTTGAAAATTCCATTTAGATTAAATTCAAAATCGGAGTGTCTAACCTTTACCTGCGTTGAACTCCCTAAACGTGGGCCTCAGCGACTATTTATTGAACCTGTAAGTACGATTCCTTTCCTGCAAATGCACGGCCTTCTTGGCTCCGCTGGGAACTTTGTTATGGGGTCCGGGGGTTAATTCCAGGAGCTGATGCTGCTGTCACAGCGGCCGGAGTACCTCCCATTGTATATATATATATATTGTATATATATATATTGTATATATATTTGCATAATTTAAAACTAAACAACTTTGCGTATTTTTTATTTATTCTTCAATGATTCTTATGGGAACAATATCATATAGTCGTTCGTAGCCCCCTAACCTTTCGCACAATCCAGTCAACATAACTTGTGACATCGGTATAAATTCCATTTCCATAGCAATTAGAACTTGTGCCACCGCTTAAGATACCGAACTGCGTTTTACGTTGAAGTCCATTTATAATGACCTTTTTTGTCAGGGGACCGCCAGAGTCGCCATTACAGGGGCCTCTTACTGAAGCTCCAGCGCAGATGTGACTTGAATGAAGTGAAAAGAATACACTTTCGCAATTACTGCGATCGTATCGATCGACGGTGACTTTCTGAAGGATGTTGCTTAGTTGCCTCTTATTTGTTCTTCCCCATCCATAGGTATCGAATGTGTTAGCACTTTCGACTTTTCTCTTAGCTTCCAGATTCCGAATAATGCAGATCGGATAGACATGCCCTGCGGACAGGAAAACATGGTGAACTCCTATAAGAGCAGAAATCTAGATAACACTTACTACTAAACTCAATATCACGTGATAGTTGGAGAAGGCCAATATTATGAATTTTTTGGATTAGTTCGAATTCATTGTGAATAATCTTATTGCTGACACTATACACCAATGTTGGACGCCGTATGTCGTAGGCTCCCAGCTTCACAATTCTGCAAACAGTACTAAATTATTATAAGTTCTATATTGAATCGAAAACATGTTAAGATACTTACAGGTTTTCTTCTTGTCTGTCTATTAAGCAGTGAGCGGCGGTTAATACAAAGCCTGAGATAAAAAAAAATTTAATAAATAATGTATATAAAAGTATAAGTACTCACGTCTGTGAATGACAGTGCCGCCACATACAAAGCCAGTTTCATTACTATGTATGCCGGCCATCCATGCAGCAGCCTCCGGTTCGGCGTTCTCACCATTCACAATTCTCGTACTCAGTGAAGTTCCGCATGGTTCGAATAATAATCGGGCTTGACCAAAGTTCTCGGCACGGAAAACAGATGTTTCAGTAGGAGGTCTAAGGGAGATGGCTGCCAATTAAAAACATAATGGTATGTTCACACATGAACATGAAATTATGTTTGTATTTGAATTGTATTGTATTTTGTTAAATTTGATAAATGAATGAAATAAAAATTAAAAGAAATGAAAATGTAATTGTATATTAAGTAATGATACAGAGGCCGTTGCAAAATAATAATATCGAATAAATATTGCAACTAATTTAAATGTACACCTACAACTTGCTGGCCCTTGGCAGAATGTTCACACATGAACACGTAGATAAGAAGCATCTTTTAGCGATTAACTCCCTACACTTGTCTATCTATAAGAACAACCGCCACTTGGGCCTATGAAAATACAAGCAACCCGAAATATGACCTCCTGTGAGCGGTCTGGGTTTGTGTAAGATATGTGCTATCGGGTTGACTATGTGCACCCTTATCGCACTTAGAGTACTTCCCACGATCGGGAACTGTCCGATGCGTGGGTCTAAAACTAAGATCAAAATACATTTTCATGTTAGCTATATAAGCTAGGATTTGAATAAAATAAAATCAGTTTGAAATATCCACTCAAAAACGTAAGACGCTCGTTTCATTTAGAGCCTCTCTCGACAGGTATGTAGGATGGAGAAAACATTTTACATTTTGTCGACATTCTTACCAGTGGGGGAAGACTGCCTAGAATACTTGGAAAATAGAGCTTTAATCTGCTCATCAATCCACTCAGCATAGCTAGTGACATCGGTATAGACCCCCAGTCCTTTGCATGATTCTGAACCATAGCTTACAATTCCCAACTGCGTCAGATGTCGAGTGCCATTATAATTAAGTTTTTGGATCAGCGGACCGCCAGAATCGCCTTTACAGGTGTCTCTATCCAAGGACCCAGCACAAATCTGATTTAAGGTAAGTGGCGCACGAGCTATCCTGTTGCACCTTCGGGGATTGTAGTGCTGAAGTGTTACTCTCTGAAGAATTTCACTTATGTTGGCTGTCCTCGTTTTTCCCCAGCCATAGGCATCCAATGTGTTAGCATTCTCCACTTCCCTTTTCTCCGTGGGATTTAAATCAATGCAGATTGGATAGATTTGCCCTGCGGAGAAGAAAAGCAAACTTAGCTCCATTAGGGGCGATTAACCAGTTAAGACTTACCAGTAAACACAATATTGAGAGGTAGTTGAAGCAGGCCAATATCATTTTGGCCTGTTTCGGAGAAGTATTCTCTGTGAATCACCGCATTGCTGACACTGTACTCTACGACAGGGAGCAATAGGTTATATGCTCCCAATCTCACGAATCTGTTGTCAAATTATTTTTTTATATTATTATTAATATTTTTTATAGTGAGCTTAAGTGTGCTTACAGATTGCCCTGATCTTTAATGCAATGAGCGGCGGTCAACACAAATCCTGAAAGAAACAAAAAAATTTTCTATTATTTATTTATTAGTATATAGTATATATATATATATATATATATATATATATATTAGTATATAGTATATATATGTACGTTTGTGAATTACAGTGCCGCCACATAGAAAATTTGTTTCATTACGAACGCCTGCCATCCAAGCAGCAGCCTTCAGTTCAGCGTTTTCGCCATTCCAAACTCTCATTCCCGTTGAAGTTTTGCAGTGGTCATCCAAGAGTCGTGCAGAGCTCCTTTGAATCAGGATCCCGATGGTCAAACTCGTCCAAAATAACGTCTGCATCTTTCTGGCAGCTGGATGAAACTAAATCGAGCTGAGTGCGATGCGACAAAATAAAAGTGTGAATAAACCGCTTATCAGCGTTTTCAAATTTGGCATTTCTGATTCTATGAACAATTTTGTTGTCTCACCTTGCCTTATCGATCTTTCAATAGGTCAATGAGCTATTTTAAGTAGGTTTTTTTTAAATTATATGTATGTGTACATATATACCATATATACATATATGTACTGACGTCTGTGAATTACAGCACCGCCACATAGAAAATCCGTTACGTACGCCTGAAATTAAAGCAAGAGCCTCCGGTTTGTCGTTGTTACCACTCATAATTCTCCTACTCAGGAAGTTCCGCATGGCTCGACTAATAATGAGAATCGACTTCGAAAACGTTACCTTGAGACAGCTTGAGTTTATTATTAAATACATATATACAAAACAGCAAGTATCAGCAGCTAAACTTAACGTTTTCATTACCTTTAAACATTGATGAATAAACTAGATATACCTATTAAAGGAGGGATAGTGGGGTAACTTTTCTAAACGTCTATTGAAACATCGAAAATTACATTCACAACATAAGCAAACAAAAACGTTATATTCAATCTAAAATATGTAATGTAAAAATATGTAAAAGTAAAAAATCAATCAAATTAATGTTATAAAAAGAATTTGTTAATATAAATACTTGGAACAATAAAATTTATTTTAAATAATCGAGATCAAACCTCTCTAGCCAACGAAATCCGTCTGCCATAACGAAATTTTGACATTTTAGAGATAATTTTCATTTAGAGATAATTCATTTCGTATGCCTGCCATCCAAGCAGCAGCCTCCGGTTCAACATTCTCGCCATTCGAAATTCTCAAAATTGATACATTTCCGCAACGGTCGGGCAATAGACAGGTAGAACTGCATCGAATCAGGAACCCGAAGATCAAACTCGGCCATAATAACGTCAGCATCTTTCTGCGATGAGTGCGATGAGACTAATCAAAGCGAACAAAAGTCACTTATCAGCGTTTTAAAATTTGGCATTTCTGATTCCATGGTCAATATTTATGTGTCACCTTTACCTTATTTAACTTTTAACACGAAATTCGAGGAATAGGTCCACTTAGTAATATAAACAAAAGCTATAATAGAATGCGCTCGATCGGTAACAAACTTTAAAGAAATTTGAACATATAAGAATATCTTTGAAATAACGCAAAACTACACATTTTTTAATAATAAATCATGGCTATTAATATTATAATTAACATTGTAAGTATATGCATGTATATTTAAAAAGGTAAATACCTATACATCAGTAAAATGTAATGAATTTCTGTTTTGTGGGTGTTTTCAGCACTTAAATTTATAATATAAATATCAAAAAAATTTAAAAAATTCTGGGGGGGTTAATTAACAATTTCTGTTGGTTGAATTACAGTAAAGCTACTTTCCATGTATTTTGTTGTTGGATTTGGTGACTGCACGGCAGTTTATATGACAGTAAATTACAGTCACCCTCACGTACGAGATTATGTGTGTGTTTTTTTTTTTTTTTTTTTTTTTTTTTAAACCAAGACTCCATAAAATACAGTAGAGTCCGGTTATAGCGACTTTCAAGGGACCGACGATTTTACGTCGTTATACCCGGAAGACGCACTAACCGAAAGTAGCAAAAAACAATTTTTTTTTTTGTTTATTTTTGCTTGATATGATTGTAATAAGTTTTTAAAATAAAACAAATTAATTTTTTAAATCAAAACAAAACAAATTTAATTCAATAACATAAACTTCATAATAAGTCGTATACAGACATAATGCATATTCATAGGCATAATAAAGTATTAATCTTATTTTTCTTTTTATACTTAATTTAAATAATTATTTAATTTTGTGTTCCTGTGTAATCAGTGATTTTTGATTGTGTTGTTTTTGACTTATAAAAAGAGTCGCGCACAGCATTATTTAGGCGAGAAATGCTGTGAGTTAATGTCTCGTCATTAAAATTGGAATGGACAAATTTATTCAAAATTTCTGCGGCCTTGAGTGCCTCCAAAACGCTAGGCGCTGACTCTGTCCTGTTCGTCATCTAATATGTTCTTAACCATACTCTCTTCAGATGGTTTCTTGCTAATCGCCACACCATTGTCTATAAGAACAAATTCATCGAGTTCTTCCTTCGAAATCGGTAGCTGATTTTTTAGAGCTCTTGCCCAAACCGATAGAGGAATGCCATCCTCGATGTCAATATCGTTTGAGAATGAGCTGCTGGGACCATCTAAATTTTCTCCGGCAAGCCCAGAATGCTTAAAGTACTTCGCAATTGTTAATGGCGAAAGTTGTTGCCATGCATTATTTATCATTAAAATGGCATCAAGGACGGTAATTTTCGGCTAATTTTCATCTTTGTTTTCATCCATATTGCTTTAAATTAAATTAAATTAAAAATTAAATTATTTCGCTGTATTTTGAATTGTGAAAAATTTCGTCGGTATAAGCGGCTTGTCGTTAAAAGCGAAGACGTTTTAAGCGGAGGCCCTTTCATATAAGTTTGTATGGGGACCAACCAAGCCATCGAGTTTTCGTCGTAATAACCGGACGGACGCTATAAGCGAAGTCGTTATAGCCGGATTCTACTGTATTGTTAACAAAGGTATGAGTACCAAATTAATTGTCATTCTTTGCCAGTTGAATAACTTCCAGAAGCCCAGGAGTAATTGAACAAGAAGCGTTTCTTTTTGGTCAGAGTATTACTATTATTTATTTTATTTGTTTGCATAAAAAAAAACGATTTCTTCTTTAAATTTAACAATAAACTCGCTTGGTTAAAAACTTATTATTTTGTATAAAAAACAAATCAACGTCGCCTTGTTCGAAGCAAGCTGCAGCTCCACAATTGGCATTGTCCGAGGCATAAGCAGTAGTCTTACAATACTTGTAGTATGGCAGTGGGGTGAATTAAACATAAAGCCTAGGGCCTAGGGCCTGGGATCTTGAAAGTCTTGATTGCGGATGGTATTGCTGTGTCCGTATTATGTAAAAAGTGGCCGGGCTTAAAGCCTTAATTTCTCCCTCTGAGGCACCGGTACCTTATTATGGCTCTGCTTTTTGTGGACTTAGTACAAGTCTTCGTTCCGAAATTTGACATTGGATTCTACACAGAATATTTTCTACAGGCAACGGCGCTTTACAGAACCTGAGAACTTATCGTACATACTTGGCATTGTCAGTGTCACCACATTTTTACATTTAACTGTAATGGAATTGCTTGGGCTTATGTTGTGGAGGCACACCTTTGGCTACCTCAACGATTTATAGAGCTATTAAAACTGATGTAGTTAATAACCATTATCGGCACAAGTAAAAACTAAAACTATGATATTAATATAATCGTATTTTTATATTTTATTTAAGCCCTTGAAGGTTATTATATCACCCAATAAACTTATATATTCTTATTAGGAATTTCTTTATCCACATCAAGGGCCAAATCGAAATAGCCATAGCCATTGATACTCGAAAAATGTTAGAAAAAAGAGGAAAGGTAGCATCTGCTGTTTGCAAGCGGATCGTCGGCATCCGGTTCGTTTCGGTTTAAACAAGAAACTCATAGCAGATATGTAATATGTAAAAGCAACGAACATTTGGTAATTTCACTATATTCTCATATAATTTGAAAGAAAAAGAAGTCATTTCCTCCCCATAAAGTATAAACATACATATATTATTTATCAGCAGACAAGTAGATTTAGCCATTCAATATGCAAACATTGGATCTCAGATACTACTATATATGAATGAGAGCTACAAGATATTGTAAAAACAACCAAAGCGCTTTTACTCAGATAAACTTTCTGTTAAAAATCATGAAAAACCGTAGCTTAAATTTTATAGTGTATTGCTTATTTAAAACAAAAAAATTACCAAAATAATTTGATCATTTAAAATCGATTCGATTTCGTCAAATGAAAAGAAAAACAGGTTATGTACACAAAATGTTTATATTTATAAATAGCATGTAACATATTTTTTAAATTTTATATATAACCATATTTTAAGATTGATATTTTTGAATAATATATAATATAAATTATAAATATATACATACATATGCTAAAAAATAAATAAAGGAATATCAAGTTGCATTACATCTACCTATATACATATATGATATTATATTATATTATAACATATTTTTTTATAATTTATATTATATTAGATATTTCAAACTTAAAATAAAAAACTTTATCAAAAACAAATTGGTTTTATTATATAAATAATATGTATATATCACCTGTTATTTTTTCTTTTCATTTAACCAAATCGAATCGATTCTTAATGATTTAATTGCAAACTGCAAGAGTATACAAACTTCGGTGTGCCAAAGTTAACTTCTCTTCTTGTTTTACATTAATTTGCCCATCGTTCCTATGGCAGCTATATGATATAATCGTCCGATTTTCATTAAATTAAAATCGAAATTTTAAAACAATACAAAGTGGCCATATCTCAATGTAATATAAATATGTTGAAAAACAGCGAAATTAGAATTATTTTTATAAAAAATTTTCCCATCGTTCCTATGCCAGCTAAATGATATAGTTGTCCGTTCAAGCCCGTTTCGACGTATATGGTAGTAAGAGTAGTAATAAAACTATCTGCAAAGTTTTATACAGATAGCTCCAAAACTGAAGGACTACTTTGTGTAGAAACGACGGACTTGGCTAGATCGACTCGGCTGTTGATGCTGTTCAAGAATTTATATAATTTATAGGGTTGGAAATGACCCCTTCTCTGCGTTGCAAACTTCTATCTAAAGCTACAATACCCAGCAAGAGTATATTTACACCGATGCTGTTGACTCTAGCTTTCCTACTTGGTTTAGAATGATTTGTGAGAAGCCTAACAGAGTTTTCTTAAAAAGTATTTCAAAGATCAGTTCTAAGATCTAATCAGATTGACACCCGTTCATATATGTAGATGTAGAAACCCTTTTCCAAAATAAATATTTCCAGAATTTCAAAAGGTATCTTTTAGTTTATTTCACTTGTATGGGTATAAACGTGTTTTCCAAATGGTTGTCCGTGTGTATGTATGTTGTTATCCTTTTTAATCTAGTTAAATATAAGTACAACGTGAAATATAAATTTTTATGCTAGAGTTGATTGGGTGGCCTCAGTTGTTAGTGTTGATCTGTTGAAACGAGCTGCCTTTGCTGAGGTAAGCTACTGTCGAGGAGAGACTTTTGAATTACTTCTTGTATATTTTCCACGGTCAGCGCTTAAAAAAGTTATACAATAACAATAATATTTTAGTAGATTTCCTTATGTGTTTGTGTGTGTGTTAATTTTGTGTTTGATTTGTGTACCCACTACCAAATTTTTCAATAGAGTTCAATTCGTTTCAATTTTTTTCTCATCTATCAATTCAGTCTTGCCCAGCGCAAAGCAGGGCTCTTCTAAAATATCGATCAGCGATTCCAAAAACATCTTATCTCTTCCCGTAAATACCTAAAGTTGGGGCTTTGTTTGTTAAGAGACTAAAAGTACTACAAGGTTACAAAGAATTTAAATTTATGAGTACATATTGTTGAATATTTCTCTTTAGCTCTCCTGAACTCCTGTTCCCGCTTCCAAATCTGATCAAAAATTGCCAGATCAGTTTTTGGTATAATGTACAGTTTCCAGCTTCTGAAAAGATAGCAAACGAATGTCTAATATTGTATTGTTCCTGATCAAATCAGATTTCACAAGATTGCACCACATTGGAAACGGGGACAGGGCAGTTTTCATATGCATGCTGCTATGTGGGCTCTACTACTGTTTGACATTGAGTTCTCTAATTGATTAATCGTGATAGAATTTCTAGGTATTAACATAGACACCAAAAACATGAGTACTTAGTTGACTTGCTTTCGCCTTCCGTTTATCCAGTTTTTATTTAATTTCTTATTGTTAGGATTCTAGCTCTTCCGAAAAACATTAAAGGCCTGTTCTGTGGTTGGGGCCATATTTTGGATTAGATTAGATTGCTAGCCACTTTGGTGGAATCTCTGCTTTCTCCCGCATGCATTTTCACAATAGCTCCTGATAATGCCTAGCAGTTTGCATTCGCTCCGGAGTGTGACTGGTACTTTAAGCTGCTAAAAATAAATATTTTGTGACGTATTTATTTATTGTTTTTCACCGTTAAGACGTTTAAAATGTCATTGCTCTTACGTACTATTCATGATAGATATTTTGTCTGTGTTGCTATAAAAGCATTTCCATTTCACATTGTTTTCTGTTAAACATTTTTATCACACCAATTTATATACGCTGGCGGGTAGTTGCTCGTTAAGTAATCGTTACCTTTATCATTATCTGCAAGCACTGATTACACATGTATTCTACATATATGTATAGTACAAAGCTGATCATCATCGTCCATAAAGAGAGGGAATTATGCACATATGCATAGACTGTATTAATCAATTCTAGCACTTTATCACCTTTGCGCTTCAGTGAAGCCTTTTGTCTACATGCCTAGCAACTAGTACATATGAAATGCAACGTAAACGCCACACAGTACTCTTAGTATGTAATGCTAAAAGCCTGAGGCCTCGCTCGTAACTATGTACAAAATACCGATATTCATCTAGCAAGTACCCCTCGTTACCTTGCTACTATCACACACACTCACTGACTGAACCTGCTTCGCGGCCGCATTGTTTGTTGCTTTGTCAGAAGAGAATTTACAACTAGTATCATAGCTATTTTGTGAGTATTGCTTCATTTTTACAGGGATTTCTAGTTTATCCTAGTATTCAATTGCTTCCAACTACTTAGACTGAATACTGTGTTGTGTTGGGAGGGATAAATAAAAAACAATTGTTTCGTTTCAAATCAAAAGTATTTCTTGTATTGTATTGTATTGTATTGATTGTGGTAACAAACGAAATTAAATACAAAATCATAAATTCCTCCTAAATGTTCACATTTACAAAAGCGTGGAGTACCAAAAACCGTATAATAACAAGATGCCATATGTAAGAGTGAAATAGAGAGTTGAGAGCACTAATCGAATGGCGTTACTCATCTTGTTATTACAAGTTTTTATGGTAGTACCGTATTAAAGGTATATTTTGTAGAATTCTTCGGACCTCCGAAGTCTCTTCCATTACAAAAAATAAAAGTTCGGCATGTCTACACATTTGCTCTCAAAATTAAGACTAGAACCATTATATTTCGATCTTAAACTCTAAGCATTGCTTCGAGCCCACTTTGATTTGTGGCTCGATACGTTATCTCTAAATGTGTGTATTAAAGGAGAGCTGTCTAGGATCGCCATTGAATGACGCCAAATGGGGCGGACAAGCAGACACGTTGAAATAAGTAAGTAATGGGATATGGACATGCTTGCACTTTAGTGTAATCGTGTTGTTTGTGTGGTCAACTTGGAATTGTCAACAAAACCAAGTTAATGGGTGGTTTCCAATAGAGAAAACGACAAAGTATACGAGAGATCGTGTAAAAGTTTGGCATATTGCCCTAAAAGTTCTATGTTACAAATATACAGTATATATATATATTTTATGGGTGTGTATATGTATGTTTTTTGCTTATGGTTTGATTTGACTTTGTTGATTGCCTACGAGCTAATAATACCTTAGGTTTGCACTAAGATTTCCATAATGTATATGTATGTAAGTAAGTGTATATATATAGCTATATGTATATGTAAGTAATGTATACAATTGTATAATATTGCAATTTCCAAATGTTCAGTTTCATCCATATGATTCTTGTTGTTGTATTTCTGGGGAGCGGGCGGGTCGTGGACTGGCGGCGCAGAAGATCCGCCCTTATATAAGTAGATTATGTACAATACAAATTGCTTGTCTTCACTTGGTATATAACGTATTCTTTAAAATTTCACTTGTCGATATTGGGTTTTTGGGTATGCTAAAATACTACGCTCTACAAATACACGCACGTTTTTGTGTGTTGTGATACGACAGAGATTATCATTTTCATTTATTTCCTTAGCTGTTTACCAACAAAGATTCAAATTCTGTTTGAATTTACACAAATTCTGCTTGATTGTAGCCTTTTCTACATTTGTGTTTTTTTGTTTTGTTTTGTGCATCAGCACCATATATTTATGGTATATATGGTTTTTCATATTAATATTAAACTCTAGACCATGGTCAAAGGGCCGACAATTTTTAATATTTTCCTTAAATCGAAAGCTGTGACTGCTGGCATTTGCCGAGCTCGTTAAACTTACTATATAATTTAATAAAATATAAATTCATTTAAGATCAGATTGTGGGCCTTTCTTTCTATCCTCTAGTTCAATAAAACAGATCTTGTTCAATCACCTATCTTTAAGAAAATAGTTGCTCAAATGCTCCCTGTTTTAGTCGTGTTTATTTATTAGCTTACAACTTGAACTATTGTGGCAATTAATTGGATTAGAAAGTTTAATTTACTCTTTACTTAAAACTTTATTTTAGAAGAAACATATTAAGAAGGAAATAAAAAGAGAAAAAGAAATATATTCTCAAAACTGTCTTACATTGAAATTAAGGAAAAGGACAAGTTAGGTGATTTGAACCTTCAAAAGAAATATACAAGAAATAATAGGGATTCCTTCTTTGTATTGTACAGGACGATAAATTGATAATTGTTCGATAGAGTTCGAGTACGTTTTAGATCGTGTGACTGGAGTTTTTTTGTTTTCCTCTCCCTTTTGCCCCCTTTGACCAAAAGCGTCTCCTTAAAATAAGCCCTTGGCGCCGACAAACTTACGTCGCCGGAATCACATGAGTCATCATTTGAGCGTATTGTAAATGTTATCCTCTCCCGCAAGCTCCACAGTGGTAATGTGTTGTGCAGTGTGCCTCTCGCCCAGCGGCATCTCCCCCAGGTACACGGTGTGATAGCTAATGGCGGCGCCACTCTTTGTCGCATCGCCATTCACCTCGATCCGACTCACGGACTGCGGACCACTGCTGGCCGACGGATACTTGAGCGACGCGTAATCACCGTCATCGTCCGGCGCGCCGTTGAACGGGGGGGTCCCAACGGTGTGCAGCGGTGGACAGATTTCTGCGTAAATATTCTCCTTGGTGTAGTCCACGACAGGCGTTGATCTAGGTCTAGTGGCAATCTCCGCGGATCGCAGGCAGCCGTCGCCGGCGGTAACCAGGGAATCCCTCACACTCGAATAGGGAAGATCATCTTCCACCAACGAAAAGGGCGAGGGCGAGCCCGGCAACTGATTGAGTCCTCCTCCCAGCAGACAGACACCACCCGCTGCCCTTCGCCCGGCGACTGGTTCCTTGGCCGACGACAGTTGCTTCGCCTTGAGCTGCATCAAGTGACGCTTCTCTCTCTCCGCCTCGTGAAGCTGCAACTTCTGAGGTAGCGAGAAATGACGCATTTGGTGTAGGCTTGACGAAGATTTGCTGTACTGCCGTGTCTTCACGTGGAACTCGTTGTACAGTTTCTCCGTAATGAAGGACTGCGGCGGCGGTGTCTGGTTCTCCACATCGTCCAGTTCGGTGCCCGCCTCGCTGATGGCATCGACATCGGCGTGCGAGTGACTTACCAGCAAATCTGGTCGTGCTGACTTGCGCTGGCCGCCATTCAACAATTCAATATCCTGCAGCGACATTGACTTTTGCAACAGAGTGTCCAGCGACTTGTGCTCCATGGTGGTCAGGGTTGTGGTCTCTGTATCAGAAGCCCCAGTGCTGTTGAGGGATATACCATCATCCTTGTCTGGCTGGTCGGGATGCTCCGAGCCGAACCGTTCCTGCAGCAGCTTCGACATGTCCGTGTAGCGCTCCATACTCATTCTCTTGGCCTGCTCGTCCAGATCCAAATTGGACTGCTGCTTCTCAAGATGTTGCTGGTGCTGGGGTTGGTTCTTGCCGAACCACTTCTTCTTGGTGGACTGGAACACCTTCATGCGCTCGGATATACGATTCGCACTGGCTGCCTCCTTGGCCTCCTCCAGATTCTCCAGGTCGGATTTGCTGAGAAAGATTATCGAATCCTCCTTTTCGTGGCCCGCCGCCATGGAGCTTTTCTCGCGTCTTAAGATTTTGGGTAAATGCAGCGGCTTCAAGATTCGAAGACCTTCTCGGCTGCTCTTAGAACCCGAACGATCCGCCCGCTGAGCCGTATCGATCTCCACCAGCTTAAGGAAGGAATCGCAGTTAAACTGGCAGAACTTGAGCATATTCTGCACATTCGTGTTGGCCAGCATCCGCTGTTCGGTATCGAATCCCAAAAAACTCTTAACCAGCTGCACATCCCGACTGGGGTAGAACTTCTTCAGCTGCAAGGGAGTCTGGGCGTCCACATCCTCGATTGAGCATCCGATGACCACGTCCTCCTTGCTCACCTGGCTGATGCACAGCTGCTCGGGAATCTCGGAACCCGACCCTGGGCCCGAAATATAGCGAAGGGTTAGCGGCAATTGCTTGGCCGCTGCCACCAAAGCGCCCAACCGATGAACACACTCCGGATTCAACTTGCGCTGCGCATCGCCCAGTTTCTGGAGCAGCTGCGGTATGCCCGGCTCAATCTCATAGAACTTGCCCTTGGTGGACAGTGGGACGTAAAACACCTGCCTGTTGTCATTCAGCAGTTGGGCATACCGATTCTTTTCTTTTTCGCGGCCCAAATAGCCACCGCTGCTGTGGGACTTGGATGCATTGGAAGCGTTGCAGTGCTGCGAAAGGTTGGCGTGGTGCTGCTCCTGCTTTCCATCCTCAAACACGGCCAGAAGTCGAAATACCTGTCCGCCCCTCGCCGTCGTCTTTATATACTGCGGTCGTCCCTTAATGATGATGGGTAAGCAACCCTCGTGGGTTGGACTAGTGGCACTAGTGCTGGTTGACGATTCCGTAAACGCCGGCATATTGTCCACCGAAGCAAACTTGTACACACGCTCGCGCACCAGCTGCATCAGCGAACCGTACTGCGTGGCCGTGGGCAAGCCCTTCTCGCTCAGCAGCGAAAAATAACCTGCGGCAAGAAAAAATGGGAAAAATTACTTAATAAAATTATTTCAAGTTAGTTTCTCTTAAAAAATAAAGCATGTATAAACGCTAGTTATAAATAAACTTCTTTATAGTCGATGGCCCTAGCAGCTCGTTCTATATATTTATACATATGGTATGATAGTTTTAGTTTTACAATCTATTCTAATTGTAAACTGCCAGTGTATAGAAACTTCGGTGTGCCGAAGTTAGCTTCCTTTTTGTTTAACAAAGAAACGTTTTTTATCAAATTTTCCCTTAAATATTTTTAAATCGGTTTTAGAAAATGCTAAATTCTTTTAATTTAATTTAATTTATCAATTTGAACATTCTTTAATGTAATTATGTTGATCAAAATTACTTTTGAGAACTTAATTTTTTGGCGAGAATATACAGCTGTGTTCACTGAAATAGCAGTGCGACAGAGGAACAACTTCAAAACGTTTTTTTGTACATATTCCTTTTTGCTAGCTGATCTATTGCACATTGTTTTTGTAAAATGGAACATAAAGATAAGAATCGAGAAAAAATTCCGTTAGATTTGCTGTATTTTTAAGTTTTATTGATATTTTTCACATATGCAGCTCGTTTTGGCCGATCACTGAAATAGCAGTTTTTAATTTTCTTTCGCAAAAAGTGCCGAAATTTCTTTTAATTTTGTAAAAAATGACTTTAATTAAGGTCGTTATTATAGTTTATACTATAATACACCTTTACAACGCAAAAAAAATTATTTTAGTGGGCGCAGGACCTCACTGATCCATGAGAGAAAGGTATCAGATATCTTAGCCTAGAAAGAAGGGCAAAACATGTAAAGAGACTCCAAATCTTTCAAATTGTTATTTTAGAATAGTTTATAAATCATAAAATATTAACCGAACCCAAAAAAACCGAGGTACGATTCGCAAAACCACAATTGTACTGGCTCGACGCGTACTTCGCTTCAGCAAAGCTCGTCCTTTTTGCATCCTCTAGGGATATATGAGCGGGAATTGGCATGGGAATAAGACATGGGACCATTCGCCGGGGAATTATTGAATAAATTTTAGATTCGCGAAGTCCATGGAAAATGTCACTGCTTGGTTAAAGGCATATCAAGGCCAGATCCGAGTTCGCCAATAGCCACTTGAACTGCCACTATTCAAATGGCGTAATATCCTTTGGACAAATGACTCCAAACTGGTTTTATTTGGTGGAATAGGACAAGACAATATGTCCGTCGACCTCCAAATAGATAGTATCCTCCAAACCATACGCTGAAGACAGTAAAACCCGGTGGCCTAAAAATCATGGTTTGGGTATACTTTTCATACAACGTTGTAGGTCCCGTATATATGATCTGTGGGATCAAAGACCATTATGTTTATGTCCAAATATTAAAAACTGTCTTGCAGCCGTATCCTGAGGAAAATATTCCATTAATTTGCGCATTTCAGCAGTACAGTGACCCTAATCATACCAGCAAGGTGGCCAAGGAGTGGGTTCTTAATGAAAAAGTGGATGCAATGCCATGGCCTGCACAGTCCCCGGATATAAATCCGATCGAAAACTTATGGGGGACATCAAGGGCTACGTATTAAAGAAGTTTCCGACTTCTAAGCCGCAGCTTTGGCAATTTGTGCAGGAGGAATGAGACCATAATCCCCTCAAGCGTTGCTAAGACTTGGTGGACTCCTTGCCACCCAGGAATGAGGCTATGATAGCTTCTAAAGGCTATTTAACAAAATATTAGATCATAGTCAATTAGAATTTAAGAAGAAATAGGTTTCTTATACGATATTTTTAAATTTATGAAGAATTTTAGTTTTTCACTGCTATTTCAATGATCGGCATAATATAGACCTTTTTTGTTGTTATTAGCTATATCTTCTAAAAGGTTTATGTTACCTAAATTAAATGATTGTGGTATTGTTAATAATTAAATACACTAAGCGCTTATGAAAAAAAAATTTATGAAAATAGTGTTTGTAACAGTATTTTCCAATCTTAAACGTGCAGGTCGTGGGGCACTGCTATTTCAGTGAACACAGCTGTATATATAAGATATACAGGCCTGCTCCGGTAATCGTAAAATTTTTTCGATTTCGTTTTGGGCGAAAACGAACCGTTTTCGTTTTTAGCTGCTCCGGTTTTCGGCAAATTTCTGCTATCGGATGTTTCGTTTTCTGATCGTTTCTCACTGCTCAAGCAGCTAACTTGTGTTGTTGGTAATAAGCAAACAACGTAAAGTACTGCCTATTATATTTACAATTGCCCTTTTTATAAGCCAGAAAAAGGCAAAAAATGGTAGAATTAAGCAAATCCAGGCACCTAAGATGCTGCCACACTTTTCACAGTTTTAATTCCGGTGGTCTCAAATAATTATTTGGTTAATTTGGACCATATAAGTAATCACATTAAATAGCATTATTTATAAACAACCATTTTGGCGGTCCTTTGAAGTTATTAATGTATTCATTTATATTTTATAAGTATTTTTAACTGGCTGTTTCGTTCCACCAACAGTATGGCAACCTTAGCGATAACTTTTTGCGGTGAACTTATCGACCTATCGCCAAAACGAGAAAACTGGCTGAACAGTGTTCAGTGAACACGGCAAAAATGTTGTTGTCAAATCTGAGGTGGGGTCAGAAATAAATTTTTTATAAAATAACTACCTGCCAGAATGATCTAATGGTGTTGTGGAATAAACATCAATAGACCACTGAGTAAACTATTTTTTTCCTTTTGTAAATAAGGTCTGATTTCATATAGAAAAAGCCATTTACTTTTCATTCCGGCCAGAAAAAGGTGCCCGTTTTTCAAATCGAAAAAATCTTTCGATTTCGATTACCGGAGCACCAATTTCTCGTTTTCAAAAACGAAAACGAAAAATTCTTGCCGTTTTCGATTACCGGAGCAGGCCTGATAGATATTGCATTTAACATTAAAATATCAATTTTAATAAAACCACTCCCGAAAACTTATACTTAAGGAGGTCATCCCATGTAACAGCCTGTTTTTAGGGATTTTTTAGGATTTTGTTCTACGACCAGCAAATAGCTAGAGCGTCAGATCAAAATTTAAGCATTTTTCGTGAATTTTTTAATGTAGGAAATGGTCAATCTTTGTGAAACTTTGGAGATAGTTAAAAGTAGAATCGGAGATGACCTATGAACCTATGAAAAATATGCCGGAGCGCCTCGAGCTTTGAGTTTCCCGGCTATAGAGCTCGTAATTTGTGTCGGAAATCCGGAAATTATGATATTCATAAATTGAACGCCAAACAACCTTTAATCAACTCAGCATAACTTTTTTTTTTTTAATTTTGTTATGATCGTTGTAAAACTTGGAGAAAAAATTCTTAAGACATCGGGCCTTTAAATTAAAAAATATAACAATTTACAAAAATACCTTACCCCATACATTACATCAACATTGTGGAATATTTTCCCAATAATAATCAAATTTTGAAAACACTTTCTACAAGGACATTTATTTTGGTTTTTGCTTGTTTGCTAAAATCTAAAATCCATTATTTTCGACAGCTGAAGGTTATGCACTGAATATAATGCACAGTACATTCCCCCTTCTTGTATCCAAAAATGAGCACAATACAAATAATACAAATAGTATGACGTACTGATGCCATTAATAAATTGTTTTGCTCACACATATGTATGTATATGTATGTATATTGTTCAAATATATATTTTTGTATATGCGCTCCAATATTGTAAACTACTAATTACATTTGAAGAACATCGTATTTACAAAATTATAAAGAATAATGAAAAAATGTTGAAAAGATTAAAGCCTACAGGAAAGTCCAACATATGGATGCGAAAATAGAATCACTTAAATTGTTGTTATAAAAACAAATTAAATGTATTATACAATACCAAAAATTTATAGTAGATAACACTATAAGAGGTAATTTTCGACCTAATTTTTAATTTAAAAAATGGGCATAAATTATAAAAATCTGTCATGTTATCAAGCGCATAATAAAGAACAATTAACCTATAAAAAGTCAAATCCAAGAGACCGAAACATTTGAAAGTTGTTACCTAGTGCAATAGTGCTTGCTTTAATGTTATTACTTTAAATAATAATAAATAAATAATGTAAGTTGGGATATAGTTTATAGCTTAAAATATATCAAGAAGTATTACAAATTTTTTGAAGTATCAGAAAAAAAATTGATTAGAAAAATATTCTGCAGTCTTTCGGCCTACTAATTACCCTGTACAAAACTTTGTTTTTCTTTTTTAAATAAAAATACTTTCATTATCAAGTGGGTTGTAACTTTTCAATCGACTACTTAATATGAACCGTCGGAATAATAATTCTATAAATGTTGGAAAATCAAAGATAAATCCGAAATTCGGCCGAAATAGATGGATAAATCATCCAATTGTAATCAAATTTTATAATAGCAACATCAAAATATATCATAATTTTAAATTAACTATATTTTCAAGCACCCAATAGCACTAAAATCTGGGTAGCTTTGTCTATAAACTTTGTTCGCATAGCTTAATATTTTTTTTTAATTAAGCAGATCTAGAATATATGCACGTTTTATGAGTTTGGAGATTCTGCCTGGTACTGCATTTTCCGTTGTCACCAAGCTATAATACCCTACCACCCATTCTGTTATGTTTGGGAGCGAGCAGACAGAAGCGATCACGTCGAGTGCTTATTACCAACTGTTTATTCATATTCTTTATAATAGTATACTGAAGAAGTGCAAGGTTGCCAGATAGGATAGAATGTGTGTTGTACAATGTGAACATATTTTTTGAAGGGTATAAAATTAAGAATACATTTGATTATACATAACACATTCGGTACCAGGTATAAAAATGATAATACCGAGCGCACTAAGTCTATAAATTGGCAAATTGCATAATATTCGCACACATTCGGCTTACTTTGCGCCTCGCCAAGTGGCTGTGAAAAGTCACATGGCGTAGCGCACGCTGAAACAATGGCTGGCCGCAGTTTGGGGAGGGGAGGAGGATGTGGGTGATGGTGGGTCCCCGAAGAAGACACAACTGTTGACTGGTTGACTAGCACCGGCACAGGTACCCCTAATATTGAGCTCATTACATAACGCCTTATGAACAAAAGTTGCGATTACTTTTCATTGCTGAACTGTGACTGTGTCACGCAATACAGTCAGAGATAGTATTAGGTAACCCCATCAAGAGATTATAGTTAACCTGCATGAGTCACCAAATGAGTTAGTTACGACTAGACCATATATAATCTGGCACTACTGTGTGTCCAACTGCATTCGTCATGAGAACAAAAGTATCAGTGAGTGGTATGTAACTAGGAGTGCGAATATTAATCACCCGAGCCACGGGGTCACAGGTTGGCTAAGCTGTTGGCAACTAACTACATACAATATATACATATGTACATATATATTTAAATATTAGTTCCAGCGTGTTTCACCCTACGTGAAATATAATATAAACTATTTTTCTTTCCGATAATACAATAACATAAGTTCGTTTTCATACTTTTACTCTTCTGTTTATAAATGTCACTTTTGTTCACTAACTCACCAGAAAACTCCTGTGGAATGAGCACCGTCTTCTTTCGCTGCGCTGCTTGGGACTTGGCATTGTGTCCGTGGTAGATGTTCCGCTGACGCACCAGCCTATAGAGCAAGAAGAGCTCGTCGTGGCCGGGCGGTATGCCACCGTGGCTGCTATTTTGACTTTTTTTGGTTTGCTGGCCAGGAGCAAGAACAGAACCAGAGCCACTTCCGATTCCGGTGACACTTCCTCCGCTGGACGATGAATGGTTGCCGGTACCTGTGCAGGTGTCGATGCGGCCATTGGAAATGTTTCCAGCACCACTGACCACCGGTTTAACTTCAACGGAGGAGCTGCTTGAAGCTGCCGTAGACGAGCCGTGCGATGAGCTGGACTGCAGCGTCTCGTTGGAGTTCTTGCTCGTGTGCAAGATGCGGGCCACACGAGGCAGGGTATTCCGCTCAAGAAATACATCGGCGGGCAATGCTTCCTGCTGGGACTAGAAATAAGAGTCAACATTTAGTCTGATTAAAGTATTTCAAGAAATTTAATATAAAATAATCATTTTAATGGCACCCCTGGTAATAAAATACTAATGAAAACATACTTCGTTGCTGCCCTTGGAGGCTTTGCTGTCCCCGGTGGAGTAATCGCCGCTGCCATTGAGGCCGCCACAGAATCCCGAGTAGCCACCTCCCGCTGCTGCTCTAGGTCCTGACCCCGATCCGGATATCACTGCTGCTGCCCCCAGCTCCCACTTGGCGCTGCTACGCAGGCGTCGTGCCAGTCTTTGGCTCAGCTCGATCTCATTGCGTCGGGCCAGGCGAGCGTTCTCGAATTCCGCCACGGAGAACATGTTGGAGCTGGTATCGTGGGAGTTAAAGCGCCGCAGCTTGGGCTTGCGCGCCCCGGCACCACCCGCCAAAGGGTGGTGGCCGTGATGGGGGCCCGTCGTTGTACCACCTGCAATAAAAAACGCAACGAGGAGTAGAGCATTGTGCATCAGTGAGGCAATCCCATAAATATAAATGCACACCCATATGTATGCACATGTGAGTGTTTAATTGCCACCGAAGTCTGCAGTGGGAAAAACCCACATACAGTAAGTAGTATCGCCTCCACCACATCTACAGCCACCTCTGTAGACCCCAAGCGAAATTCAGTTGGCGTGACGCAACGGCAGGCAAGTGGTTCAAAACTGTTGCTAAGCGCAGCTAATTCTCAGTCAGCGGTCAACGAGGCGATGACACACAGTGGGCGAATATGGCCACAAAGCGTAACCGCAAAATTAAGAAGAACAAACGACGAAAAACTAAAGTAATGTGAATATAGAAGCCTAAACAAAGCAATGCCTACAAAATACTTGGATTTTTACACAAAAATAATTTTAAAATGCTTCATTTTAAGGAGAATTAAATGTGATTTTTAATTCTCAAAGGGATTTACTTTTAGTTTGAAGTGTCATATTGTAAAACCCATATATTACTAGATTATAGTTGTACAATTTCACAATAGATAATTTGAACCAAAATAGCTTTTAATTTAAAAATCAGTTGAATTAAAAACAACGAAGTACACACAAAGCATCTTGTGTTCTAGAATATGCCAATTATCAATTATCAATTATCAGTTAAGAGGTATTAAAATTCTTGCTTATGACGAAATTTAATGGTTCATTAAAGCAATATAAGAGCTTGTTTGATTTATGACGTCTTTAAAATTTGGCTTCATTGACTAATGAAAACCGTAGAAAAAGTAGTTTTTGTTGATATGTCTTATTTCAACTTGTATGTTTTATAATGCACTCAGTTTAATATTGAGGAAGAACTTTCGAGCTTAGACACTTGACTGGAATTGTATGACAAACAACCGCAAAAATAAAATTGGATCGGATATCGGTAACAACTGGAAGCTATTAATACCTATTCACCGCTCCCCAGACACAATAATAAAGATAACAGATAACGTACATATTTATTTTTGTTTTCATATCGAAATCCAAAAAAGTAATTGTCTGTCATGAAATCACTCAGCCTTCTTTCAAAATGGTGTGAGTGAACTTCAAGCGCTGCAATCAAATATAGATATCGCGGTTTTTGATTGGTTATTGTTTGATTGCTGCCCATGGTGCGAATTAAACCCGCTGCGCAGTAGCTCCTTTTCTCCAACCCCGGCTTGAACAAAGCGACTTTATTTCATTTCATTAACACACAAAAATCTTGTCAAATATATACAAAGATATATTTCCAGCTGATTTTGAAGGAATCACTTTCTTCATCAGTATCCTTTGATGCCAATAGTTTATTGAAAATTATTAACAAATTATATTAATATATATAATCTCTGCTGGGAATTTCGATTTTTAAACGAACCACTGTGCGCTGCTGCCGCTGATTGGTGGTCGGCGGCGCATTACTCACTTTAATTGCGCACATTTGGCTTAATTTCTGCCCCACGCACACATTGAATATAGTAAGTGCAGACGAGGGCAAAAATCACAGCATAACGCCGGGAAGGAGCTAAAACGTTTTGTGAAATTGCGCTTATCTTTTGTGAAATATCAATTGCGGAGAACATGGGCGGAAAAGAGAGAGGCACAGAGACATAGGGGGCAGATTGGGTGGCGGGTGTGCCATCGTCACGTTTCGTGTGAAATTACGCGAAGAAAGACGCGCGCCTAGGCATCAAAATTCGCTTCAATTCGCAATAAATCAGTAGGGCAGGAAAAAAACTTTGTTTCCTAGTTACATATAAATACCCTAACAAGACAATAACTATATGTCGATGAAGGGTTTAGAATAAAAACTACATATATGAATTAAGATTTAATGAAAACTACAAATTAATTCTTCATGCAAATTTATGGTACAGTACCTAAATATGTAATTTATTTTAATTGAATTTTTTATAATTTTGATTGATTTGTTTATTTTTAATAATTTTGAGTAACATAAAATGGCTTAAATTCTCGATCTGAACTTGATATTATTATATGTACATACATATCTATCTGTAGCCAAACTTCAAAAACTCAAATTTAGAGGTGATCTATCTTCATTGAATCAAGAAATCTTAAAATTGCATTTCAAAATTATACGAAAGAAAAAAAAAAATTCAAAATTCGTATATTATTACTATATAACTATATTACTATATATAATCCAGTTTCTTTAGCCTGATTATGATTTCTTCATCCGTAGCAGATAAATCTATATGCTGTCCCAAACGGCATACTAAATCGAAATACCTTCCAGAAAGGGCATACAAAAGCTAACAACGCGACGTCAATGAGCAAACAGAAAACTCACTCTTTCGTTTGCTCGTTCACGTTCTTTCACTCTGGCTCTCGCTCGCTTGTTTGCAGCGCGTGCCTGTGACTCTCCCTCTCCCTCTCCCGCTCGACGACACCACCGTTTCCCTCCCCCCGAGAGCTTACCGTTACATGCAGCTGCTGATGCAGCTGCGACGCTGTTGCTGGGTGCGCCCGCTGCTGCTGCACCGCCCACTGCCGCTGCAACTCCTCCTGTTGAGCCAGTGTTTGTTGTTGGTTGTGCCGAACCAGTGGGTGCTGCTGCTGCTGCAGCAGTGGGTGTTGCTGTAGATGCGGCTGCGGCTGCCATGTGCGGGCTGCTGTTCAACAGCCAGTTGGCCAGGTGCCTCCGACGCTCCAACTCGATATTGCTGCGCTGCATTCCGGACAGCTTGAAGGTCTCGCTCATAATCGCAATCAATCACACAGAAAACGCGACAGCGCGGCTGCAACGAGCGACGCGTCGCCGTCGAGTCGATTTTGCTACTGTGCGCCCGAGCGTCGCGCGATGTCAACTGTCAAAATCTGACTGAGCTTTTTCCTACCCTTTCAGAGGGTATTACAACGAGTCGTCCAACTGCAGCGCCCGCGCCGATCGTTGCTGCTGAAACGAGAGAGCCAAAAAGAGAGCGTGAGAGCGTGAGACAGCGTTTACATAAGAGAGCGAGGAACAGAGAGGAGGAGGAACTTGCACAGTGGCCTAGTTCGACAGCTGGACACTCTCACAATTATCGGTTGGTGGAACTTATTGATTGTGTACTTATTGATTTTTTAATGGGGAAAAGTTGCTAGCGTTTACTATGCTATTGAGGTCCAACTTTACTTTTTGTTGATATTCTAACTATAGCGATATGTGTTATGGAACGATTTAAAACTATGTACATACATCTATTAGACCATCGTCGCTAATGAACTTAATTAATTAATCAAAAATGTTTGCCCCTATAATACCACTTTCCTGGCTGGTTTTGTAAGTAACGATCTTGCTGTGTAAACGTTGCTTTCTAGTTCATATACTCTGAAATAAAGAGTGTAGAAACAACAATGGCTAAAAGTGCAAAAAAGATGTTGAGCTTAAAAAAACTCAGTCACAGCGCAATTGAGAGTTGATTGTTGTTGGTGCCACCGCTTCTGCTTCGGCTGTGTGTTTCTGTATCCGTGTGGTGCATAAATTAAAATTGCCTCAACGCAACGATGACGACGTTATCAGAAAGGCAAACGCGCGGCTCTCTTGCCGTTCGTTGCCTTGTTCAATGTCGCCGCACCTTCTCACTCTCCCACTCTTCACCACCACCCCCTCCCTGCGAAAGTGTGGAAAGCGAAGCAGAGCCAGTACGTCTGGCGGTGGCAGCAAAAACAACTAGCACGCGTCATCTTCAAAAGCTATACGACAACGTAATCGGTGTGATTGTTGTTAGAAAAGCGAGTGGGGCAGCAGTGTTTGTTTGCTACATGGGTGTACATGGAAATTATTAAGAGGGGCTTAGCATAAAGGTACTATTTTGTGTACACCTTTTAGTCATTAAAGGAAGAAAGTTCATACTTTTTAATAATTTTTAAATTAATTTAAAAAAAACCTATATTGCACATTTAAATTTTAACAGTTTAAGGCCCCTTTCTCGTATTTTCAATCAAATTTTACGTTTAAGGTTTTAAGATGATGAAGTTATTTACAAAGATCTGTACCCCGTTCGGCCGGCTCTGCTCCCATAAATATGGCACTCATTATATTGAGAGTTTACGTTTTCGGTTTGGCTTTGGTTTTGAGTTTTGCTACACGCTTTTGGCTCTTTTATGTACATACATACATATGAGCTTTCCCAGGAAAGAGTATCATAACATTGTCATAATGTTGGCAACCAATTCGACCGGCAGAGGCAAATGCCAAAAGGCAGCAAGCCAAAACAAAAAAAATGTGGCAAGCGTGTGGGCATGTGCTTCTACATACACTGAAAATTTAACTTAAGATAAATGAATCTCTTGAAATTTTATATTACTTTCCTACATTTTTAATTACTTTACAAGAGAAGGGTAAATTTGAATCATCTTAATTTAAAAATTCTCGTCAGAATGTTAAAGGCCTAGATAAACTTTTTCATTCATATGCACGAAGAATTGTTTATCTTTTTGATCAGATAGCTAGAACAAAAAGATAAACAATTCTTCGTGCATATGAACGAACTTAGGAACTGAAATGTGCAGCAAGGTGCAATCAAAACAATTTTCTTAATTAACAGGAAGTCTAGCTCCTAGTTAATCTCAGTTCTAGCTGTGACACAGTAGGCACTTCATCTGTCCCTGAAATTTTAACAGTGAAACAAGAAATCGGTCCTTTCTATGTGGTTAATTTCTCCTTAATTTTAGGTTGTCGATCTACGTCTGAGTTTAAAAATATTGTGTAATTTCTTAACCGCCTGCAATTTCTAAAAAAAAAAAATATTTCGATTATTACGCGATGTTCTTAAAGTCGAAATGGAATATTTGTTTAGGACACTGAGATTTGGGTTTGTCTGTTTTATACGGATAACTCAATTATCAGTCAAAATGTTTATTACTTGCAACTAATAAGAAAGACTGAAGAATTGTATTGATTGCCCTTAGATGTTTACATATAAGAACTCAGCTGATCTAAAAATTATATTCTACCGATTTTTTTAAGTGTATAAATGTATGTAAGCGTAAATTTTCTGATCAGAATGATGAGGCATAACAAATGATCTAAGTATGTATACATATCGACGCATTTTCGCGAAAGTATCGTATGTCGAAAAATCCAATTTTACAGGAGAAGCTTTTTTGTGCTTTAATCTCTTAGGAAGCACTATAGAAAAGACAAAATTAAAACTTAATTTTTATCGGAACTATAGGGTTTTCAGTTATAATATTTTACAGGGTAGTGAGACATTAGGTTCCTAACAATTTTGCATTAAAATCTCAATTTCGAAAAAAAGCGACATACGATACTTTCGCAAAAATGCGTCGATATGTATGTACATATTTACAATGTATGGTTTTGCAGTGTTGCTATGCCAAGCGAAACTATACAAATTAAGTTGAACGATCCGCAAAATGTTGTATAACCGAACATATGTACATATAGAATGTACATGTGGATTGTGGGTACCCTGTATACGACATACAAGAGTACTTATGTACATATAATCGGAGGCAGATGTGCATAGAATATAAAAAAACGAAAGAATAATTTAGTCGAGTATCTCGACTATGAGATACCCGACGCTTAAAAAAATCGAATATCTTCTATATTATTCTAGAGAGTAAAATTTTGAATTTTAAGCTTAATCTTTGCATATAAATACCTTTTTCTGTATATTCCTTCCTAGCAGAAAAGAATACAAATTACATTTTTTTTTAATATCAATTGATTGAGTTGTCATTTCCAATATAAATAGGTACAATCTAGGTAATACTAAATATAACTCAACATATGTAACGGTAAGATTTTATTACGCCTTAAAAAATATCTTTGAGATAGGAAAAAGATAACTCAGATTGTGTACAGTGAAGCGTGTAGAAACAAATTAGGTTGCAAAATATAAATTTATGTCAGGCTACACCAATTTTATACAGCAAACAATTTTTTTGTACAACAATTTTCTTTCATATTTAAAAGTCGCTTAAAATAATTGTTTTATATTTCAAAGTCAAACACACTTAAGTATAGCTTTACTTTTTATTTATTTTATTATATTATTTATTTAAAAAAAAGTGTCGTTTTAAAACCGTTGGGAACATAATTAAAATATTAAATTTTTATTTTTTTTTTATTTTATTTATATAAACTTGTATACTAGGAAATATAATGTATTGTTTTTTTCAAATTAATTTATTAAGTTGATGGATTTAATTACTTGAAATTATGTTTTAATTTTAATCATGAGTATAATTAATAAAGAAAATATATTGAAAAGTGTCATCGTTTTGCGCCGGGTTGCCCCACTGTGCAGCGTTCATTGCCTTTGTCGACTGGTTCTCTGGGGTTTGACTAATAAAGAATAAGCGTAGTCATTTCGCGTAGTCGGAGCCACCGCCTCAGGTGTTTCCCCAAGGGTTGAGGTGACTGTGACTGTATTGCCCCATTGTCTATCTGGTTTTGTATAATTCATTTCTATGCGTAGCTGTCGCCTGTCAGCTGTCGCCGCTCTTTTGATGAATCACAGGCCTCTGCCCAATAGCAGACCCAGCTAAATATACAGGCAAGCTGAAATGCAAAATTCATGGCCGTTCTCGACACTCCGTCCTCCGTTGGGTGGAATGCGACAAAGGCACTCCCCGGCGATAGCAAATGAGCAATCGCCGGTTAATTCGTTTCGCTTGTCCGTAGCTCCCAAAAGCCGCCTCGGCTACACAAATATTGGGAATCAGTTGCCGGGGTAACGCCCCCGCGATGTCAGCTCCTGTTCTCCCAAAGCTGGCAGAGGACATTCTGTACACATTTGGCCAATATAGGTATTTAGCATGTGAAGAACAGTTCGATAACATGGTCATATATACATATACATATATATTAATTTATTTCCTTTGTGTAGTATAACATTATATAAATATATATGTAAGTACATTTTATATTTAAATCAGTTGTTATTTATTTTCTGCATTAAGTATGATATTTTCTTAATGGTGAAGAAACACCCTGGAGTTATGGGTATATTTAAAAAATGTTTTATGTGTAACAAGAAGTTTTAATGCTAACATTTTAAGACTTTTGTGTATTTTATTTACGTGCTCTTAAATATTAGAGGTGAACATTAAAGTGTTGAGCAAGAAAGCTACAGTTGAATGGGCTATTATTATCATCAAAATTTGTCATCCGCAGAAATACCGTATTTAATAGTATAACTATTAGTTAAATAAATTGTAAAACCTACTTAATAAAAAAGTGTTAAAAGGGTAAAAAACCACTTACATACATATGTACTTATATCACAATATTGATCAAATGACTTGATACTGTGAAAATTTCTAACTTTGACAAATAAATAAACCGTTACAATTGTTTTAAGAATTTTTTTGTGATTGAACCAAAAATCCCATTTCTAGAGTTTTCGATATCATATTAAGATTTTAATTTAAGACTGCACAAAATCTTAAAATTAGTTTAGTTTAAAGTTAAAGGCGCAAGATAGAGGTGTCAAGGAGTGAGTCTGCGGCGGTGCCACACTGCCTTCCAACAGTAACAACTCGCTTATATCTGGCAATGCGATTTATTAACAGTTAGCTGAGACCTTTACCTACAACTGCCACAGTAATTGTAGTTCTTCCTCCGCACCGCCATTTTTGTTGCTACTTTTGGGAGTGAGTCCAAAATTTATTGCCTGCAGCCACATGATGAACGATTTTGATAATAATATTTTGTTATTGCTTTTTTGCCCAAGCCGAAATTTCTTTGGGTGTTTTATTTTTTTCTCTCTCCTCTTTACCGCTGCAGAAACTTTTAGCTGCGTTTTGTTGCCAAAAATGGAAGCTACCATGGAGCTACGGCTTAGAAGACCTTCCCACAAAAGCTTTTCTTCGGGGTATTTGCGGGTTTGGGGGACGAACGGGTCCTTGGAAGTCTACCCTGCTGTTGCGACCAACGCTAAACTAAACATTTGGTCAACTGACGAAAACATAAACCATAAGTAATAAACCAAAGGCTGTCATAAGAAAACTTCCACGGCAAACGGTCTTAAAGCAAACTCGTTTGTCCTGCTGCAGTTTTCGGCTTTGGCATTTTACTTTTCAAAAATTAAATGCACAAAACAAAAGATATGCATGCATGTAATATATATTTGTGTATTTAACGTCGAAATTATTTTAATTCTGAATAATTCCTAAAAACACAGCTTAAATTTGACAATTCTTGCAAACTTTTGACTAATATGATAATGCCTCAACAAGGGTATTGAGACTTTCATGTGGTTCTGAAGGAGAAATCATCCCAAACATACAAAAGCAAAGATCTCAGTATATCCTTGAAGGCAACGAGTACAAAGTTTATGAAAAAAAGGGTGTATGACAGTGGACAAAAAAGGGCACTAAAGCAAACACGTTAAAGCTTCGCTCAAAGCTAGTGACTGAATGATAGAGTACATTTTTGACAAATTTATGATGATTGAATTCTAAGTGATTTTTAACGAGTTTTTGCAGACTCGCAGATTTTCATGAAGGAGGGGACAAGGCACAGTGCAGCTGTGAAACAATTTTGTCAACAGCTTTACCGTGCCGTCGCCTTTGTAATTGAATAATAAATATTAAACGTTAACCAAAATTCGTGGCATCAAATTAAGCAGAGCTTTTTAGGATTCTTAATTTAGTGAGTTGCTAATCCGAGTTGTTTCTCTTCTACTGGCACTCCCACTTTGTTGCCATTGCATCCGCCCACTAGATTCGTAAATTGTCACTGGCAGTATCTGTGCAATCGACTGTAAAATTTATTGATTGCACAAATAGGCCCGCCCAGCCATGTTGTATACATCGATAAAGGCGCATTTACCATAAGGCTATTTCAAACCAGCGCCAATCTTTTCGGTTTATATAAAGCCTATACCCAATTTAGCGATTTTGGCTGGGTTAAATTTATTTTGCACATCTAGATATATTTATTCTTACCCTTGCAAAGAGTGTTAAAATTTTATTCAAAAGTTAGCAACGCAGCCCTTCCAACTCGTATAATAATCCAAAGGAATTTTAGCTCACAATTAATTCATTGAACCAATGATCCAACCGTTTCTGCAACTAGCCAATATTCACACCCGAAATGCAACTATTTCAGGCTTTTAAAGACCTTTGGACAGTGCCCGATAGAAATGCACACGTCCTTTGTGTGGGTTCCTTGGCGGGCGTATTCGTGCGTGTGATTGACATGCCTTTCCATTGAATTATTAATTATGTAATGCGAAACCAATCGACTGCAATTTGCATATGAAATGAGCCTCACACGCTCACAAAGTCTAATTAAGGCCTGGCGCTGTGGCTCAGCTCAGTGCTCGGTTTGTGGCTCGTCCAATCATATATGGGGGCATGAATGAAAATTGCACAGATTTGCATAATATATACACCTTCATATTTAAAATGCAATGCAGTTTGGTACCGTTCCCATTAGATGCTTCTTTCCTGGTCCTGTATATACACAGATAGGTTGTGTTAATTGCACGCGGACAAATTGGTCACTTAGGAAAATTGGCGTGCGTATGAAAATGGGAAAATTAGTTTGTTTTCTTGCTTGGCAGAAAAATATTTAAGCTCACCACGCACATAAAGTTGTCATTCTATTAATAATGTTCTTATAAGTGTCAACTTACGTGACATTTAGAGTAGATGATAGCTACTGCTAGGTAATACAAAGTTTAACTAATCAAAAATTTAATAATTTCTTTGAGTTTGATTACTCATTTACTGGGTAATAAATTTATTACGAAAAGTTTGTTACCTTTTGCCATCTGATAAAATATCGAAACTACTGCACTGAATTGTTTGCTTGGCTAAAAATGAAATGTTGTGATGTGTCATGTGGTAAAAGCTGACACACGTTTTCGATTAAGAGCCTAGTCGAGACAAAAGTCCACAAAACGTAGAGCCAGGAACCTGAGGTGCTCTGAGGGGGAAGTAATAAAGATTGAAGCCCGGCCAATGTTTACATAATACGGACCACAGCAACAGCATCCGCAGACGAGTCGAGACTCTCCAGATCCCAGACGGTAGGTGTTATGTTTGAACTACACTCGACTGGGCCGCTTGCGTTGCTTTACTTTACTTTACGGCACTCCTCTTTGCCGTACTTACAACAGTACGGCTACTGTTTATGCCTCGGTTCGCAGCCAAAACCCTTTGCATCCTTTATTCCCTCGCATGAGCTCGCATCAGCATCCTTAGAGTCACAGAGCTGCATCTTGCTCTGAATAACACGACGCACAGTGGAGCGTTTGATTTGTTTATTATGCAAAATAATATGTTTTGAATCAAGCTGAGAATCGTAAATAAGACTTATGAATAAAATAAAAATTACTACAAAACTAGAAAGCAAGCTGACTTTGGCACGCCGAAGTTTGTATACCCTTGGACTTTGCAATTAGATCATTAAAAATGTATTCATTTTGCTATTGTTCAGCATATTTATGATTAAGATTATATTAAATATTTTAAATCTGAAATATTTTTAATACGATAAACAACAGTTTCTCAAGGATTAGGTTTGTGCGTCCACTGACTATATATACAAAATATATTCAAAATTGCTTTCTTTGTTTTTAGAATCTGCCCGATTTTGTAAAATATTTTAGTTCTGATTAATGTTAACTAACTTTATTATTAAGCCCTTTTTGTATAATCTCTTGTACTTTCTTCTTGCCTTGATTCTGTTTTCCCTATTACTTTACATAAAGTAAATACTACCACCTACTCCGCTTGATCTTTGCACGTGAACAATTTTTAGTTTACTTCGGTCTGCAGTTTGTTTTCACTTTTGAAAGTTAGAGAAAAAAACAGTAAACAACAAATTTGTATGCGTATATGAATACGTATTGTTGACATATTGAGATATTGCGGCAATTTAGACCAGACGGCACCATTTAAAAAGCCATTAGGGCCAAATCTGCCGACGGAATGCTCAGCCAGGAACAATGGAATCCCCCATTAGCAGTTAGTCCATAGTTTGTCTGTTATCCAGTAGCCAAGCAAGCCGCCTTTCGAATGTCTCTGCTCAAGTTGAAGCTTCTGGTTCTCAGTTGGATGGCCGAACGCTGTCTTAGTGCCCAGGTAGTGCACTTGGATCGCTTCACGTTCACCGTCGACGATCACGCCCTGTTCCTGTCCCAGAGTGCCGTTCTAGAGCAGGAGCATAATCGCAGCTACCTCTCTGGACACATGATGATTAACCGGCTTGTAAATGACATCACACTAACTTCGTCAATGGACATAATTCGGCCTCGGCGGCCGGAAATGCGTCTCTATAATGTGAAGCTCAACTTTTGCTCCGTCCTTAATAATGGCTACAAAAATAAGTTTATTAGATTGCTCTACAATAATTATGCTGGCTTTCTTAATACCAAACCGAAATGTCCACTAAAGCCGGTGAGTTGCTTGGGAATATTTGTTTTTTTTTTAACAAATTGTTGTAATTTCAAATACCTTAACTTTTCTCTACCGTACTAGAACTTCAACTACTCATTGACAAGAGCCTTCGTCGACGAGGACTTACTACCAGATCTCCTTCCAGAATGCACCTATCGCTTCAGAGCTTCCTTTGAGCAGAAGTCAAAGCCCTTGGCGCACATGCAACTCGATGGACGATTGGTCGCCAAAGTCGGAAGGTCAAACTGAAGTTCTTGTATTCTGTGCACATAAAATTCAGCAATAAAATTAAGAACCAAAGATTATCATTCATTGGTAATTATTGAAGTATCTGGGCCATGGGCTATGGAGGTTCAATGACTACTTTAATTGTGGGCAAGTCAACTAGGGGTGTGCACTTAGCAAAAAAAATAATGATAAGGAACTATTAGGTAACAGAAATAATGGTACAAATATATCCCTAGAGAAGAAAGCACTTGAAATAGAATTGTATATTCCTAGAAAATAAATGTATAAAGCAGGAAAACCCATCCAGTTAGCCCAAACTTTGTCTAATCCAGTTCCGATTGAATGATCATAATAATTACGTATAGGCGTGCTAGTCTGTTTCATAACATTTAAAGCAATATCAAAGCATGCCATCTTTAATTATATACATAACTATATTAATAATTTACATCACAAGAGTCTGTAGATCCGGTTGCCATGTACTCCTCATCATTATAAACTAAGCTTTAGTCATGAACACAGTGTATTTGATCTGTGGATTATACTTCTTTATGGACATTGCCTCTACAGATGAGCGCAACTTTAGAATTCATTTTGAGGAGTTCGCGATCAAGTATAAGGTGCCGGACTTGTTCGCCAAGATGGATTGTCGGCTATATCATATAAATAATCGCAGCTACGTGAACGCCGAGATGATTCTCAAACGGAACGTTGGGGACATAAACGTGCGAGCCAGTATGGAGTTCTGGAAACCGAACAGCCAAAAGAAACTGAAGTTGTACGACGTTCGGGTGGATGGATGCTCTTTCCTGCGAAGTGTCCATAAGAATAAATTGTTTAACATTTACGTGAAGAGCTTTAAAAAGCACGCCAATGTTAACCTAGCCTGTCCTTTGAAAGCGGTGTGTGAAATGTCCTTTTAAATTGAAAAGTTTCTAATATAATTTTATTTTTTTGCAGAACTATAGCTACAAGTTGGAGGATTGGTATTTAGACGAACTGGATCTTCCGCCATTTGCACCAATTGGTCAATTTCATACCCTTACAGAATATTATTCGCAAAAAAAAATGGTTATACGTATTGTGACTAGTGGGGAAATATCGGCCAAGGTGTAGCTATTAAATGCAAATAATGAGGATAAAGATTATATAACACTGAAGAAATATAAATTGAACTATAGTAAGTTCATCAATAAAGCACTTACAAAATTATCTTTACAAATCTGAGTAATAAAATGTACAATGCTTTGAACTTTAAAGACAGAAATTTATCCTTTATATACGAGGTCTCTTAATTATGCCATTGAACTAGCGAAAAGTTGGTTAAAACGGAAAAAGTATAAACATTTAAGCCGATTGATTTATGTCTACTATAGTTAACAGATCCGGGTACGTTTTGCTGCAATTTGCTGATTAAAATTATAATACCTTTCACCAGAGCAAAAAAAATACAATTATCAAAATGTAATTATTTTAGAACGGACTCCTAATTAGGGCCTTTGTCCATGGTCCATATCACGTCTATTATGCATAGTTAAAGCTTAAACGTGTCCAATAATAATTTGGACCTCATGACCGTAATCCACTGTCATTATACCGAAAGCTTCGATCATGAGTCCTCTTTTCCGACTTCTTTGGTTTAACTTATTTATTTGCGTAAATACTGAAGAACGAGGCTTTAGAGTGAAGTTAGATGAATTTTCCGTGAGATACAAGGTACGCGACTTGATTGAACATATCGATTTTCGAATTGCTCAAATTAACAATCGGAGCTACGTCAACGGCGAGATGACGCTGAAGTGTGTTGTAAGAGACATTGATATGCACACCACTATGGATTTTTGGAAAGCGAACAATCAAAACAAAATAAAACTGTATGACGTCCGATTGGACGCCTGCGAATTTCTGAGAACTGCTCACCGGAATGGCCTATTCAACATATACGTCAAAAGCTTCAAAAAACACACAAAAGCAGATCTGAATTGTCCTTTAAAGACAGTAAGTCTAAGACATAAATTTATATATAGAAATGGAACAGTGCCTTATTATAATGATTTTCCACAGAACTACAACTACAGCTTAAGAAATTGGCATATGAATGAGAAGGACCTGCCACCCTATGTACCATTTGGAAAATTTAGAACAATCACGGAGTACTTTACGCAACAGCGCCTGGCACTTCGGATAGTCACTCAAGGAAAAGTTGTCATTAACAAGTAGAGAAAGTCATTAGGAGGAATCGAAGTCTAGTAAAAATGTGACGGTTTCAAATAATTGAAATCGCTTCCTTAACATATGTACTATATGTGTTTTTAAAGGATTTTTTTTATATACAGGCGGACATCTCATAATCTAGGATCTTTTTGATAGGTCAAGTAGTTTATAATTCTTGAATGTTTTAAAAAATATACTTAAGGTGTAGTACTTCATCACCCTATATCTTGGAAATATGGCAATATTTCAACATAAAAAAACTTTAAGAAATACTTTGTACTTTACTTAGAAGCTTAAAAAAAACTTTTAAAAATTTAAATTGCTAAGTCTTAACCGCTCTTCAGGAAAAATTATTTAAAAAACGGTTAAAAAAACTGTTTTAACCTTATGCCTTATTTCCCACAAAACATCCGAATATTTTTAACTAAGACTTTACTCACATAGTTAAAATCAAAAATAATCTCAATGTTCCATCAAAATTTGAGAGCAAAAATTCAAATATTCTAACCAAACTATATGGTATACATATATCAAGAAGTGCAATCAGCTAAATAAAGAAATTTAATGACTAGAAAAATAATTGAAAAATAACGTCATTTGTAATTATGTACTTGCTCATCCAGTTGAAACCTCATTAAGCTGGGATCTAGCATTATAAGCTTAGCTCTAACCATGAAAACTTGGCTTTGGGTACGCTGGCTTCTAATTTTTAAGTGCGTGGGCTCAGCGCCTCGAAACTTTCGTATCGCCGTCGACGATGTCAGCATTAAGATTTTTGATGCAGAACTACTCGAAAAGTTCGATTGCCAGGTGTTACAAATTGACAACAAGAGCTATGTCAACTGTCAAATAGTGCTAAAGAGATATGTTGATCAATTGAAAGCACGCTCTATCTTGGACTTTTGGAAACCAAATGGTCAGGCTATGAAGCTGTTCGATGCCCGATTGGATGCATGCCTCTTCATGGGAAGCGTGCATAAAAACCGATTTTTTAATATCTACGCAAAAGCCCTAAAAAAATATTCAAACCTGAAGTGTCCTCTGAAACCGGTAAGTACAAAATGTGCAATGTTTTGAATAGACACATCTTAAATTAGAAAATTCTTTCTAGAATTTCACCTATACCTTGGAAAAACTTAATTTGGATGAGCAAGACTTTCCAGCATTTGTTCCTCTCGGAAGTTTCCGATGCAACACAGAGTTTACCTTTAACGACAGTATGAGCAAGGCCATACGCATTATAGTCCGTGGAAAGATTTTACCGAGGCGTTCAGCAGCTCCTTAATCCGGTTCTCGTAAAGGCGGACCAAAACTATAACTTTTAAAATTTAATAAAATCATAAGTTACTGGGACTTAAGCCGACTGCGAAGTTTTGACAGGGAAGGTAGAAACAGGATCTAAATGGTTTCATTTAGGATTGGCCTAGGGTTGAGACTCGACTTATCATATGAGGATAGTTCCTGTGCGAGGGAAATTGATGTAGAAGAAATAATCAAATCGTCTTTCTTTGGAGATTCTCTCACAATAACGTTTTTATACCCTTAAAGGGTATTACATATAATTTTAGTCAAAAGTTTACATCGCAGTGAAAGAGACATTTTCGACCTTATAAAGTATATATAATATATTCTAATCCAGCATCAACAGCCGAGTTGATGGAGCACTGTTCAATTGTTCAAAATGTATGGTTTTTTAATAGGAATTTTCAATTACGTCTCATTATCGATTACACTAGCTATTATAATAAAACCAAAATTCTGTAGGATTATTATAATTCAATCAAATATACATTTTCGATACAAAAATAAGTATATTTCAAACATAATTTAGTTCTGATTCAGTTATTCCACTGCCATGAACGTCGAAAGAATTTTGGCTCTGCTCACGTTGATTGTAAGCTGTGTACGGGCAAGGGTAAGTGAAGACAACAAATTACAAAAAAAAATTCATTAAAAAATAAAACTGTTTCTTTTTAAATCAAGATGGATGCTTATATGACTGCAATTGAATGCCCAAATTATTTACCGGAATTAGTAACCAACCTCAGCTGCCATTTAGACCGGTCATCCCAATCCAATGGAACATTTTCAGTAAATCTTACTTTGGCCAAGGATGTAAAGGATATAAAAGGCACATATATTTTTTCTATTAAGAGAGGGTCAACCATAAACAACTATACGGCAATAGAGATGGATTACTGCCAGGCATTATCATCTTTACAGTCAAATTTTTTACTTAAAATGATTGCCGATGAGCTGCGTAGGTCGGCCAACTTTCCACTACAGTGTCCCTTTAAAATGGTTTGTAAATGCTTTAAAACCCTACTAATGCCAAACGTAACTGTTAATTTCTCCTATTTTTTCTAAAGAAAAAACTATACTACATTAATAGATATACAATCAACCCTAAAATGATACCCAGCTATGCCCCAGAACTTAACTTCAAATCGGACTGCCTCATAAGCCTTAATAAACGTAAAGCTCTTCGGTTAATTATCCATGGCCGTGTTGTTCGACGTCGATCGAGTCGTTAAAAATGATTTTTTATATAGCAAGCCTAATTATTTACACATACTAATTGTATAGATTAAGGTATATATTTTGAAAAATTATATGTACCATTAAATATCTAAATATAACCATTAAAATTATTTGTACATACGGCGAAAAATGGTATTTTTTGGCAATATAAAAACAACAGAGCGCAGACTTGGAGATACATCAGCAGTGAGCAGCCATGAGATTTTGGATTAGGTTGATCTGGCAGTTTTTAATATTTAAATTTGTGATATCCGAGGGACGGAACTTTCGAGTTATCTTTGATAACATCAGCATTAGCAATGTTGATCCGGAAGTCTTTGAGAAGTTTGATTGCCAACTTTACCAGATCAACAATCGGAGTTTCGTGGATACGAGTCACATTTTTAAGGAGACGGTAACAGACTTAAAGGTGCATGCCGCCCTTGATTTCTGGAAGGCCAAGAGTCCCAAAATGACACTCTATGATCTTGAGTTCGACGGATGCCATTTTTTACAAAATGTTCATAAGAACCGATTGTTCAACATTTATGCGAAAACTCTAAAAAAATATTCCAACATCAGCTTCAAGTGTCCGTTTCAAGCTGTAAGTAAAATGTTTCCGAATTTCGTAGATAAGCGCCTGACTTCCGTTTTTCTTCAGAACGTTCTCTACGCAGTAAGGAATATGACCATGAACGAACAGGACTTCCCATCGTTTGTACCCCTTGGAAAATTTCGGTCTCTTATCGAATACTCAGTGAATCAGAAATTGAGTTCCAGAGTCTTTGTAAACGGAAAAATTATCTCGTATTCAACGGATCCTTTTAAGATTTCAAAGTAGTAGATTGTTTTGTAAAGTTACCCTGTTTCTCAAGGAGCTAGCTCCTTCCCGAATTAAGAACCCGTTGAACTTGTGTAAATTTATAAATGTTACTATAAAGATTGTCACAAAATTCTCTTTCAGAAATTCCAACTTTTCAAGATGCGATCGTCATCTTTTTAAGTTTTAGAATACGGAACATTTTTATTCCCTCTATGATTGGCACGATTTGTCAACTGAAATGCACTCTTCAGCTCAGTACTGTATGCCATCCAAGAGGACATCAATTACTGTATGTCCTGCCGACACAACGTAAAAGCAAAACAAAATATGAGCCCCGCCGAGTCGATGGAACAGAGTTAATTTATGATGGTTTTGTGTGCAAAAAGAACGGAACCTTCATATGAGCTTGAATGTACACACATATACTCGTATTTTCCTTACTTTTTGTTGTGTTTCAGCGCAAGGAACTTGATTACACGTGCGCTAATTTAGTTGCACGCGAAAACATGCGAGTATTCAAAACGCTTGCTGAAGTGCCAGACCCTTAACTCACCAAAGCACCCACCGTGGCTCCCTCTGCCTTTCAGCGAAGTCCGCTCCGTGCCTTTCTATCTTTCAGTTTTCCCGGGCGAGCACATCCTTAACCCGTTGGCGCTGGAAATTGGAGTTCATGGCATGCTACCGGTTGTTGGCCCTGTGCGCGTTCACGAGCACACACAAATTTAATTTATACACAACACATGCAAATGTATGTATACCATACATTTTTTTTCTGAGCCCAAACACAGTGGCAATATGCAACAGTGGGTTGGGCAAAAAATATGCAATAAATTTTTAATTTAAATCAAGCCATCATGCGCCCCTCCTTCTCCAAACGACCGATTGCCAAAGGGATTTGGGGTCGTGATATTAAAACCACGGCATAGTGGACTTAAGGGCGGGTTTAAATGTATTAACATATGAATGCAACTTATGTATGTACCTGTCTTTCCTTGCAAGTCCTGTGAAACAACAACCAAGTGCTTTTTGTGGGCCTCGAAAAAGCTTGGGTGGCTTTATTGCTAATACTCAAAAATGAAATTCGATTGGGATCCATCCAGCCTGAAACAAATATGAAATGTTTCATTTAAAATAATATTGTACATTTACAGTGTTTAACATCCCAAAATTGGGTTAAAATTGCAATCTATTTATCTATCTTTATAATATTATTAAATAATTGTTCCATATGCGACATCAAAAACTTCTTTTCCCTAAGACTTATATTTGTAACCACTAATTTGGACTCCATTACTTAAAAACAATTAGACTTTCTACTTTTTTTTGAATATTTTAGCCAGACTCCGCATCAACAAGCATAGCTTTACATAGGTCCTGCAGCTGCTTGCTCGACTCTTCCATTTCGGTGCGAAGCTGGGAGATACAGATCTGCATTTGGGCTATACGCATGTCGCCGGCCTTCAGCTTTACCTCCTGGTTGGCCGTAAAGCCGGTGGCATCTCGTCGGCCTTGGGGCTGGCGCTGGCGCTGAGGGCGCCTGTGGGTTGGTGGTCGGATCACTAATCGATTAGCGGCTTCAATGACGGCCGCATTTTCCTCTTGATGCAGACCATTGCTGGGGCTGCATACCAACTTGGATTCTGTTTCCGGCATTGTGGGGGCGCAACCGTTCAAATTAATGCAACAAACAATTTTGTTTTTCGAAATTAGCAAGAATTGAGAACCCTGGGAGCTTGGCGTACCGAATAATTTCGAATTGTTTGCTTTACTTATGACATAATGAACACGAACTGCTGAGCTCGCACAGGATGTGTACTGTGTTTCGTTATGCGGTGCTGGCCACGAAGAGAGCTGGGCGGCAGAAGGCCTCACACATCACTAAGTTCCAGCACCCCACTGAACTTTAACTACAATTAACCGCAAATGATGCAGCTCTGCTGGTGACGGCGGTTTGTGGTCAAATCGGGCACACGTTGAAAACAGCAACTTAAATTCGACTGTAGCACCAAGAAATTATACATAAATAACACAAAGCGTTTATTTTTTGTCAGAAGAGAAAGTTTAAGGTGCAGGGTGCTCCAAACAGAGCTGACATAAACATATCATATGGAAAAAAATTTCAAACAAGCTGTCAAAAACTAACGCAATAACGCAACTTTTGTAGTATAAACTAGCGTCTTGCGTTAATGCGTTAATTTCGATTTCGATAGGTAACTCAGGTCGGTGTAAATATACTATTAGCTTTCATATATCGAAATTTAACATATCGAAATATATCGGAATTAAATTGATCGATTTTGAATAATATGGCTTAATTATTTGTGTCTTTTTATGGCAATATTAAGCCGATATATATTTATCATAATTTCTATTAACTGCACATTTATCGCAATGCTAAAATACGCTTTACTATCTATCGACTTTTCAGCCAAATATCGATTCAGCATCGATATATCGATATTTTCTGCCGTGCCTTGCACACACTAACCACTCACTCATATAAGTTACTTATAGAAAACAGTAGCTGGAGGAACGTAACCGGAAGAAGGACGACATACACATGGGAGGTCATGGTAGGCAATGGCCAGACTAACACAACTTGTACTCGACTGACCCAGCTGTGCAAGAGGGAGGCTCGGGGCACGCAATTAATTAAAAATACATGCACCGGGACCGAGTTCCAGACATGCTGGCTGCTCGCACCATGGCCCCTGCATTAATTTGACCACAAAATAAAAAAGATCCTTCAGTATAAGGCATGACTGAAACTCGGCATCGCGTCGGTCCAATGCTAAATGCACTACAATCGGGACCAGTATGTTTGTGTTCTTATTTTACAAATATTATCTAGTGGTTGTGTTTTATTATGTAATTATAAAGGGGCTCACTTTGTGCTAGCCAGATAGATGTTTTTTTCCGACTGTTCAAGCCGCTGACTGTTGTGTAAACTGCGTACGTTTGTTAACAACAAAGTCATCGATGCAAAACAAACAATAAGCCCCCCCAGATAGAAAACCAAAAGGTTTTAAACTGTGATGTATACAGAATTAAAATTTGCCTAAATGAAAATATATTTGTTACAGATATCATTCTAAAGAGAAAATGGATATAATATTTATATTTCTTGTACTGATTTTCCTAGCAATATTGCATTACGCCTTTTCACTCTTCTTTTTTGTATTTTCTTTGTAAACTGTTTTTCATTTGAATCGTGAAGAGAGTCAAATGCCACTAAACGCCAACTAACCATCACCGGTGGCCAGGTGAAAAAATGCACAGCTACTGATTGTCACAGGTGCGAAAGGATGACATGATTGGTGATTCACGCGGAAATTTTAGTTACCTTTTGCCACAGACAGGAGTGGCAAGAGTTTTCAAAACGCTTTGAAAACTCTGGTTGGTGTAAGTCTGTGTTTCAGTTTAACTACAGTAGGTAGAAATAAAATGGGAATTCAAGAATAGAAAGTATAGAAAACTTATTACACTTTCATGTTTTTCCTAGTACAACCTTTTTAATGTTGACTGTTGCTAATTAAAATATTTTCAACTCTGAATATTAATTAATTGTTTCATTAACTTTAAAAATTAAACAAAGTTGAAAGCCAAACAAACTATCCTTGATCGGTTTATTAGTTCCCATAGTAGTCCTGATTCTTTTATCCTTTATATCCATTGAAAACCCAAATCCTTGCCAGAGGCTAATTGAATGCATGCTGGGACATTGCAGCATTCACCCATGACGGTTTGTGCCAAGATGATAAGCCAGCATTTAAGCAAAAATATCCCTAAACAAACAATATTTATGGGATGGCCAAGCCCAAAGTGGCGACTATCACTTTTGGCAACGGTTAGACGCCTACTCCAGTTGCCCAATTGAAAATATGAAAATATTTATTGTGCGCCACCGAGAATAATCAGCAACACCTCATAAATCATAGAAAGAGTTGGAAACAATTTTAGCAGCGTAATCAGGAAGTCTGCCAAAAACCCAAAGCGAAAGGAATCTGTACCTTAAATTCAAATGATTCTACATATACCTTTACTATAGCAATTCTGAGTATTTGTTGTAATAATTTTGATCAAATATGTTTTAAGATAGTGCTTAACCATTTCCCAATTCAGATTATTTCTGAAGCTAATGGCTGATCCTGCAATGTTTCTTAATAAATGATTTAAAAATCGACAAGCAGCAGAACTCGAACAGTTTTAAATATTTTCTCTGGCCTGGTACACGTATTATGGCGAACATTCCTGACTTGTCATTACTCTTCCGTTGAACTTTTATGTAGAGAAATATATAAAATCAATGAAACCTTGTGATCCGCTTGAATAAGTCACATAAGCCAGATCAAATGGTTGGCCCAGCCAGCTTTACATCTTTAACGTAGAGCTTACAGGCAAAGGGTGAAGTGGAAGATAATGGATGGCGGCCCACTCGATCCCAGTTGTTCTGCTTCAACACTTTTGCACAAACAGCAATCAACTGGCAGATGAATCAAGCGCAGGCGTTGGCTGCCCAGTTAAGCCCTCGGCCCACTCGCAACTCCCTTATTTTTTGGACCGGCGACAAAATTGCGATGGGGCTGGAAAATGCAGTCCATGGCAACAGAATCCAAAGGCAAACACACAGCCCAGAGTACAGGCGAGAGGAAAATCAATAAAATGTACGTTTATCTTATTTTGTAGTTCCATGGGACTGGGATTCGTCTTCCTCGCTCGACAACAGTGTCGCTATGAGTATATTCCCTTCCCTTTCAAATACAAATATAAATCTTCGACGCACTTAAGCCTTTTAAATGATAACAATGGCCAGGCCAAGGAATCCATCCCGCCCCAAAAGACACGCCCACTGAGTAGCAGGTGTGGACTGGACGCCAGAGGACTTAGTGCGACGCCAGTGGTAAAAGTTTCAACTCCCATACTCCCAGCATCCGAAATATTCCGTGAATTTATTATGCCCTGCTTTAATAGAGTTTCCTCGAAGTTTCTCAAAACAAAATATAAAATATGCGGAGACATATTTTTGCATTAGAACAGAAATATTGTTTTAAATCTTTAAATATGAACAGAAAACGATTAGACAATATTACAGCTTATGTGGGAAGAAAGGCAATTAATATGAATTTTAGTTATCACTATCAAATTAGAAAATTAGAAATGAATCTTATGTTATGCACTAGCAATCTGTGTTAGCATAAATTTCAATCTGAGCTTTATCCCTGAAACCCTCTTTTCTGAGCTCCGTTCATAAATGCATTTATTAGTGCGCTAGACTGAAATAATTGTCCCATTAGATGGGAAATCCATAGACCAGAGCCTGAAGTGTCAATTGTGGCAGAAGCATCCCAACTTGCCACCCAGACATGACGGAAAATTGCTTAATTTAGCGCAAAAATTAACCACTGGTCAACTGCCGGCTGGCCAGTTATGATTAAAGTAGATAAGGTAACAAGCAACCCTTCATTTAAACTTCAGATGGAACATTTTGGAATCACATCGGTCAAAAGCAAAGTAAAATTATATTTAATTTTTACTCTGTTTCATTCGAAAGTATATAAATGTACCTTCGCAAACACATGCTTTTTATATACACAAACAACACCCAAAATCATAAAGGGAAGAACCGACTAGAATGCTGAGTCCAAAAGGAGACAACCTCAAAGATGAAAGCAAACAGGTGGGAGGCGATGTGACTAATGCAACTGGAGGACCGCCCATTGATTGGAACATCCATAAGAATGGCGACTCTACGGTGCCCAGTTACTTGTCTGAGGTCCACCTTAGCCACCAACAGATCACCAGACGATTCGGGGATCTGCTCAACTTGTTTGAAGATTATACAAAAATTCTAAAAAGTGAGCATGAGCGAGTTAACGTTCCGTTCCATCTGAAACGAGTGCTGTCGGATCTTGTGCTAAATGAAGGTAAGGTATCATATAAAGATGAATCTAAAGTGGTTTCGAATTAAAGAAATAAGAAATTTTAAGAATCTAGTACAGGAGCTAAGAGTATATCTAAAAGGGTAACCTTATAACTGGTACATGACAGTGCTTAAGGTTGTTTCGAAGGAAAATAATACAATATTGTTCAATAATTTTGGGGGCCATAATTTATTAATTTATTTAATCCTTTTGTAGTTCAATGAGAATAATTTTAATCCTTAAAACCTGTTGCTCGCAAAAGTGCGAGTGGGGCGAATTAGTAAGGTATATGGAAAGAAAATGTTGTTTTTAACGCGTATTGCCACTATAAGCGAAAACAGTTACTAATATTTTACATATTTTCAGACAATGAAAATGATGAGCCATGTCGAGCATCGAGTGCAACGGAGCTATCAGATTGCACTATTAAGGCCAGATGTAGGCAGGCCCCCACCTGCGACGTCAGCAGCCAGACTTATTGGAGTGCCGTGGATCAAAGGCAAGTCGACATTAAGGACTTGGAGACACAGCTGGCTGGCATTGGTGGAAGTGCTAGTGTGGATTATGGAGCTGAAAAGCCGAGCAAGACTTTGCAGCACACAATCCACATCGAGGTGGAATCGGTCACCTCCGCCACGGACATGCAGCGGCCTCCGCTGCGCCAGAGGATGTGGAACGTTTTGACCCAGACATCCGACTCAATCGTCGCCTGCACCTACATGATCGGCGAAAACTTCACCTATGTCCTGTTCGTCGTCTTGTGCCTTTGGTGCCTCTATTTGCTGATGGGCCACTACTACAGCTCTCTGCCGACTAATATTAACCAGCAGATCAACCTGAAGAAGGACTTGGCACGGCCCAATCCCAAGTAGATTTGTATAAATCGTTTCGTTTTACTCTTGATGAAATAAAGTATTGATTTGGTAAAGCAAATAACTAAGCCGCTGGTATATTCATCTCAAGATATTCGGTGTGCAACAACACATGATTGCGAGGCTACAATATAGCGCTGAAGCAAAGTCGGTCAACATGTAGCAGACGCGATCCGCTAGTGGTGGCCGGCTTATCACGTTCGGAAAAGGCACAGATACCGCGTCAATAAAGATCGTTTGGCGCGTCAGCTCGCAGGGAGCGAGTGGAGGCAGACGGTGGCGATCCACACGGCTTCGTATGTGGAAACGAGGCTGTTCCGTTTGCACCGAGGTGGAATCAAACTTCTTAAGCGGTGTATCCTTCCTAAAGATTTCATCTTCGTCCTCTGAACATTCTGCGGGTGATTATATCGAATGAATGAGACTACCCCCATCGAACACGGGTTTTGTGGTATGTGTCGGTAGGACATTACCTTCCTCCAATGCCTTGTTTAGCCAACTGTGCCACGTTCTTCGATTGACATCGACCGATCCCTGCTTAGGACTACTCTGCAGGGTGCAAGCGCTTGGTGTATCCAGGACTTCACTGCCGTTCATGTTCTCGAATGAGTCGTCGGCCTGGAAGCCCAAAATGTCGAAGAGCCGCTGGCAGGTGTCCTTCTGCCTAGACAACTTGAGCGGCTCGTTTACGGCATCTTGAACCAAGTCGCCGATCAGCAAGTTAATGACGATCGCAGTTTGTGGAGGCTCCCTGCTCGCCATGTAGTTTATAGCGTTCACAATTCAAATTTGGAAATGTTTTAAACAAGGTTCTGATCCCCAAACTCAAATCTGTGACATTTAACTAGTGTCACCACCTCTGAAAGTAAACAGTTCTCAGATTTGCAAACGAATTTAAAAATTTTCTGTTTCTAAAAAACAAATAAAATGGAAAATGAAAAATATAAAAACCAAAGAGGCGACGAGCAAGCACCGTTGCAATCTGAGGATCAACTGATAACAAGACAACACCCTGCCGTTGATCACACCCAAGTTGTGTATCTGCGAGATGCGAACTTGGATGAGTCTATAACAGAGTCTTCAGTGGACTGCAGTAAAACGGATCGAACCAATTCGGATGCCACTCAAAACAACGAAATGGAGTCTAAGCCTGTTTCTTTCGGAGTGCAATGTGAGCCCAGCACCAGCCGTAATTGCACAGCAAACACACAGAACGAAGCCGCGGTTACGGTAGAAACTTACCCAGCTTCGACGGTGGCTCGCAGGGCTTATAATTCGGATGGTATGAATACGGAAACGGAACGAATGCGGAACATACTGGACCTACTTCATCGCTTTTCGTACAACTTGGACGCCATTGAGGAACGGCTGCAAGCGCCGCAGCAATACTGCGAACTGGGCACCCAGACCGGTGAGGTCGCCACTTCGCGAAGGCTGCGTGTGGATCTCACCACCCGGAGATCGAGTCCGGCCCGGCATCAACCGGATAGTCGACCTCCCTGCGAACGTAGTTACCATATGATCACAATCGCCGGCAACAACCTGCCACCACGTCAGGCAGTCCAACGGCAAACATTCTGCGGCCGTATATGTCGCTCCTTGGGAGATTTCTTCGCCGCCTTCTGTCTGTGTCTGCAGGTGAACAAGGACTGCATCTTCTGCCTGGGCTTCTTTGTGGCCTTTGTGGTCAGTGTTAGCTTCCTGACAGCATTCTTTTATCGAACGATCAACTTTAAGCCGTCAGTGTCTCGGGTGACTGCTATCCCGATGACTGGAAGCCCGCAATATGAGTTGACCCCTCTGAGGTTTAGTGGCGGCTACTATTACATCTACAATAAAAACCAACGTAACTTGTCCTAGTATGCATAATTCGGTGTTTGTCGTTAGCCAATATTACACATTCAATCTACTTTTCATAGTTTTCCAGAGAAATTCCACACTATAATAAATATATCAAGTAAGAAAGCTATTATAAGTGTGCTCGACTGTTAAATACCCGGTACCCATGGCTTTGTCAATTAATTGACACTGGAATTTCAATGTCCAGCTTAATGTAATTCAATATACTATTATATTTTTTTTCTTTCTTGGTAAAACTTCTGTGAGGGGAAGAAATTTAAAAAATATTTTCAATATTTTTGTTTTATGGAACCTTTTGTTCGGTCTGTTCTGTTCTGTCTGTTCTGTTCTGTCGGTCAAATAACCACCTAAGACGATATAGATAGATTAACATTTTTGTGGGGATTTTATCGTATAACCGATTTTGATTCAAAGTTTCAAAGGGCGTCTATGTATTAATTTCATGTGTTTATATTTGTACCCCAATTCAATTAAACGTTTTTCTTTGTTTATATATCGGGCTTCTGACATTCTGGTTGTTGTTTCTACATCTATACTGCATACATACATGGATTGATTAGTGTTAACAAGAAAACAAGAAAGGAAGCTAACTTCGGCACGCCGAAGTTTGTATACCCTTGCAGATATCATTTCATTACATTTTACCTATACTTATTATGTATACAGTTTGACAGTTACAGTTTTACATTCCCAGCCTTACATTTTCTCTACATCTATCGATCGTTTCTATGGCAGCTATATGATATAGTTGTCCGATTTTTATGAAATTTATACCAAAATTCTAAAATAATAAAATAAGCTTATATCTCAAAGTAGATGAAAATACGTTGAAAAACAACGAAGTTATCATTTTTTTTCCTATTAATTTCCCGATCGTTCCTATGGCAGCTATAAGATATATTCGTCCGATTTTCGTGAAATTTTTACCAAAATTCAGAAATAAAATAAAATGGCCATATCTAAAAAATGGTGCAAAAATGTTAAAAAACATCCAAGTTATAATTTTTTTTCTAAAAATTTATCGATCATTTGTATGGCAGCTATATGATATAGTCGTCCGATCCGGCCCGTTCCGACCTATATAGCAGTGAGAGTATATAGAAGACTATGTGCAAAGTTTCATTCAGATAGCTTTAAAACTGAGGGACTAGTTTGCGTAGAAACGGACAGGTGGACAGACGGACAGACGGACAGACGGACAGACGGACAGACGGACAGACGGACATGGCTAGATCGACTCGGCTGTTGATGCTGATCAAGAATATATATACTTTATAGGGTCGGAAACGTCTCCTTCACTGCGTTGCAAACTTCTGACTGAAATTATAATACCCTGCAAGGGTATAAAAATATATATGAAAATAATAGATCCCTTCTCAGGGTATTATTAACTTAAACGTATTAATTATTATGATTTCAGTTGCATTAAAAATTTATCATTGATTAATTCAAAGGGCTTTATCTCGGGCTTTCTACGTAGGCATAAAAAAGGCTCTTTATCCAGCTCGACTTGTCGCGACAATGGGTCACACAAACAGTCTTTGAAAACGGGAAACTGACCACAAAACAATTGTCGCCAGCTGCCAGGACCAGACGGTCTTTTAAATTTGTTGGCCAAATGCCCAATAGCACAAAGAAATTGCTGTTAATATTGGCAATTCCGTCTTTCCCTTCCGCCTTTAAGATGATTGTTATTTATTTGATGTATCGAAAATATTTGCAAACAAGAAAGAAAGCTAACTTCAGCAACCAAGTTTGGATACCCTTGCAATTTTCAATTGGATTATTAAGAATCGAGCAATTCTAGTTCAATTAATAGAAGAAAATAAAAGGAAATATATAAAATTTGTACATTTATACATAGCATATCATAATTTGGTTTTGATATTCATATTATAAATTTAAATGCTGAAAAAACACATAGCAGAGTTTCATTACATTTTACCTATACTTTTTCTTTTTACAGTTTTACATTCCCAGCTTTACATTTTCATTACATCTACAGATAGTTTCAATGGTAGCTTTATGATATAGTTGTCCGATTTTCTTAAAATGTATACCAAAATTCTGAAATAATAAGAAATGCCCATATCTCAAAAATTATTAAAATATGTTGAAAAACAGTCAAGTTGCAAGTTTTTTTCTTAAAATTTGTCGATCATTTGTATGACAGCTATATGATATAGTCGTCCGATCCGGCCCGTTCCGACATATGTATATAGCAGTGAGAGTATTCAGAAGACTATATGCAAAGTTTCATTCAGATAGCTATAAAACTGAGGGACTAGTTTACGTTGAAACGGACGGACGGACGGACGGACAGAAGGACATGGCTAGATCGACTCGACTGTTGATGCTGATCAAGAATATATATACATAATAGGGTAGGAAATGTCTCCTTCACTGAGTTGCAAAGTTCTGACTAAAATTATAATACCTTGCAAGGGTATAATAAGGGTAATTCTCAAAAAAAAAAAAAAAAAAAAAAAAAGTTCTATAAAACGATTTTATCAACATATGTATGTAGTTAAATTAACAAATGATACAAATTTCGAAATATTAGAATGTGAATTTGAGCAAACGCGATTTACATTTTTCTAAATATCTTGAAAACGAACAATTGTCCAATTTATTATTGTCGAATTTAGCACCAACAATAGTGCTAACCAAAAGCTACAAGTTTCAGATTTTGTAAAATTAAAACAAAGTCATGTCGCATGTTTTTTCACTTTAAATGCGCACATAGTTGCAGACTACATCAGAGAATTGCCCATATGTACACAAATTAAGCTGTACTTAAGGTTTCAGATAGTAATATTCTACGTAATACTGTAAATATTGATTAAAATTATTTTATACAATTGAAAAGGGACTATTTAACAATATTTAAAATTGTAAGAGCTGCCTGCTACTGATGTTAGCTTAAAACTAGGGTGTGGGTGTTCGCAATGGACCGGGAACGAATGTTTGACTTCAAATGGGGAACAGAGCGACACGGGCTTCCGCTGGCAGGAAATTGAATTGCACGAACACGCGAAATTACATCATTTTGGAACCACGGTAAACAATTTCCCGTTTTCACCTAACCATTTTTATTTTTATTTTGTCCAACAATTTTTTCTGCACATTTCCATCCAAATTTTACCAGGCAAATTTCTCGTTGCCTTGGCATCACACCACCCTCACCAATCCGTGTTAACGGCAATTTCTGCGAAAATATATCAATTTCACTTTTTTTTGTCGTTCTTTATTATTATTTTCTGTGTTTGAGATGGATATGGGTGTAAGGAGCCTTTGCAATTGTTTGTTGAGAGAAAAATGCCGACAGTAAATAATAGTAATGTTAAAAAAACGTAGGAAAATTTAGGCAGAGAGCCACCTTATGCATATGTATGTATATTTACATATTGACTTTTATGTTATGTCAGGCAATAAGAAACAGAACGTTGAGTTCTCATGCAATATTAAGCAGACCAAAGAATTAAAAACTATTTTCAACAAATATTAACCCTTCAATATGGAAGAAAATTTGTAATTAAAGCCAATACTTTTTATTAGACTAAACGAGAAATCAGTGCTCTCTCAAGTCTTATTCCTGAGACCTAGCCTTCGATTTTCATTGCTTTTGCGGCTGGTCAAAATAATATCTTTGTTCTATATTCGGAAAACTTTTCACTGGCACAACTATATATAGCCCGATTCTCAGCGAGTACGCGACTATGCAAAAAGAGGAAAACTGGCGGCTCATCCACTCCCACTGGGGTCGGCCCTTGGCATTTTTGGACATGGCAGCCCTGTCAAGTTGGAAAGGATTATTGCCACTTGCCGCTGGCGGCGAACGTTCTTAAAATGTAACACGTTTCAAACAAGTTTAGATACGTGTGTTTTGTCTGTTAGTGGAGATGGCTGGCTGGCTGGCTGGCTAGCTCCTCTCTTGTCTCCCGTATCTGAGTCGGTATCTCTTCGGGCCAACGGCCCATGTAAAAAGTCATCAACGGGGGCCAGTTTGCCCAGGCCTAGGAATCGGCAAAAATAAAATAAAAACTGCGACTGGTTTGACGGGCTTTTTCAATGGGCTCGCGACCAACAGCAAAATAAAATGAGCAGCCTTATACTTTGGCTGAACTCTCCTCTGACCAAATCCCAGCTTCGTCCCGAGTTCGAGTCCGAGTCCGATTCCAATTCCGACTCGAAGCGGTCATAAAAATTCACGGTAAATGAGAAATGAAATGTTAAACTTTGAGATGCTCTACGCACGCAAGCCCAAAAAATAAACATTTGAAAAGGAGAGTCGCTAAATATCAAAGAAGTTTCGGAAAAAATGCGATGGCGAGCGGGGGGAGGCAATTGTGCAAGATTGATGGGAATACCGAGGTCATTCATCATGTGATTCTCGACTTGATTGGACATTTCATTGGCTTCATAGGCGAGGGTTTCAAAATACACACATTTATTGAGGATTATCTTAAAAGGAGGGCAATAATTAAGGATAAAATGGATCGTATTCGGATTGATGGAGAATAAACAATTATTTATAATAAATACGTTTGTTTTTAGAGATATTGGAATTCAAAAATAATAAAGAGACGCAAAAAATAAAGAGGTCCTAACGGTTAGAACTTCTAACACAATATGCTAGAACATTAAAATTACTTTAAGGACATATTTTGTAAATAGCTGGGAATCCATCGTTGGTTTACAATAATGCATAAATGTTTTAATAAAGACTATAGAACAATTACAAAATAATATTCTTTGCCATTTGTAGTGATACTCCTTATTGGAATTTTGCTTATAATTGTGGAAAAGGTGTTTCTAGAGGAACAACTATGTAAACTTCATCTCACCAAACCAAATAAGATAAAACCGGTGTCATAGATTACAGGTTTTAGAGATATTTTGATAAAAGAGGAAGGTAATTAACATAATTATAAGAAAAATCTAATGAATTTCTTAAGTCAATTATGAAAATTTGGTATACATGAATTTTCTGGAAATATATGAATACAGTATACAATGGAAGCAAATAGTTGTACAAAAAGAACAAGAATGGCTCGGCTTCTTTTTTGCTCAAATGAAAAGAAAAACTAATAGGGGATATATAAAATATATATATATTTCACAATGTTACAATTTGTTTTTGATAACACTTTCACATATTTACCTACATCTACAAAATTCTAAATTAATACAAAATTACCATATCATCAAAAAATATGAAAATTTGTTATAAAAAAAAAAAAAAAAAACGCAAAGTTATAATTTGTATTCAACAATTTTTCTATCTGGTCCGTTCCGACATACATATATCGCAGACGGAGGGGCAGTGCTAAATCGAATCGGCTGTTGATGCTGATCAAGAATGTCTGAACGACCCTTATAGGGTCTTATAATGTCTCATTCACTCCGTTGCAAACTTCTGACTTAAATAATAATACTCTGCAAGGTTATTATACCCTTGCAGAGTATTATAGTTTAAGTCTGTAATTAATTACCTATATTTTACATACAAGCCAGAGTTTTCAAAAAATTAATTCACTGTTATAAAATTCCCATAATTGAGTAGTTCCTCTCCGTATTTGTAGTTTATTTACTAATAAAGTCAAAAACTCTTTTATATAATTGGATTTTAAGACCTCGAAAGCTTTTCACATCAAAATCATTAAACTTGCAAAACTTTTCGCACTCGCATCGTCTTTGGTGGCCAGAAAATTCAAGGGACTTTCGGTTCACCCAATTTTACGACTGCAGAGTATTTAAAATGTAAAACTTTAAGTACGGACTCACCTTTAAGAGCTGCTGGCATTCGTATCTGTGTGCAAGAGTCTGGCTGCCAGCGGCATGGGTGTGCGTGTGTATCTGTGAGTGAGGAAAGCTTGCTGCTGCTGCTGCTGATGCAGCTAGATGACGGCGATGGGAGCGATGCTGCACATCCTGACGGCCATCTTTTCAAGTGGCAGAGCTAACATCTCCTCAGCTGCCTCACATGATGTTTTTTTTAGTCCGCTTCTGTTTCTCTTTGGCTTTATTGTAGCTTTTCGATTAACACTTCAGCTGCATATGGTTTGAATGTGGATAAATTTATGTTTTGTTTTATACAACGTGTTTTCTCAAACGGTTTTACGAGCGAATTGATATTGTTAAATTGATTTACTGCTGGCCGTGCGCACAAATCAAGTTTTGGCTTTATGATTGAACGACGAATAAAAAAGAAATAAATAAATAAAGCCAACAAATAAAAAACAACGGAAGCCCCAAAAAAGCTTTTGAAAGTGGCCCACGCAGGCAGCAAATAGCAATAGTTGAGAAATGAGATGAATAATAGCGAAAAAGACAAATTAAAGTGTAATCAAAAAGATGTCTAACCACTTTTTTCGCCAGCAGCCAAACAGCTGAAAAAACAGACTGACACTGTCGACGAACCTTTTGGCCAGCCGGTTTCCACCGCCAAAAAGAACAAAAACAAAATAATAATAAAAGTAATAGAATGGAAGGTAAATCGAAAATCCAATGGAAAACCAACGTCAACGTCGAACCCGTTGCAAAGCAGCCAGCAGCTGATCCCTGGAAAACGGAAAGCGCGCCCACACAACCAGAGCGAAGGACCTGCAGCCGGGCACTGAGCTTCAGGAGCGCACCGAACGGCCGCCTGCCTCTGACGACAGCTTATGTAAAGCCGACTGCCGACTGCGAACTGTGAACCGACCAAATTTTCCCGTTTTCCCCATTTTCCGGCATTACTGGCAAAGTAAGTGCGTGCAAGCGGGACGCCAGCAATGCAATTTTACGGGCCAAAGTCAGGCAGTTAACCAGCGACCAGCCTGCTGCTGCCTGTGGCTCCTGCTAGCGTCGGTGTGAGTGTGTCGAGCTGAGCTGGTGTTCGTGTGTGGCGCCTGCGCACTGCCCGCACAGCTGACGGCAGCGGGCCACGGGGACGGAGCCAGCTAGATTCGGACGGGGCCCCGGGAAACATGTAGGCACAAATAAAAATATTGTTATCTTCCTTAACCAAAAATGGTTGAAAATAAGAACGAATATAAAAAAAACCCTATCAGATATGCTTTAAATTTAAATAAATAACCGCAATTTCCCGTCCCCCGAGAATTTTTCACGCGGATCCGCTCCTGAACTCTGAGGCTAACCGCTGTTGCTAGGCGCCCGGTGCTGCCACTCGCAGTCGCTGACTCTGCCGACGCCGGCAGATCGGCGTCGACTGCAAAGCCAGCTGATTGTTGGCTGTTTTTCGGAAGAGATTCTGGTGAGGGGAAGGGGCTGGAATTTCCCGAAAGTAACGGCTCTTTCGGGGAAACGGTATTTCCTATTGATTTCGTTGAACTGCATTTGAGACTCGCACAAGTTATGCATGCTAATACAAAGCAGCCTATGAAAAGGGTATCAGCCTAGCGCGAAGCGAAGACAGGAGGAGGCAGAATGGGAATAAGAAGCTGAGTAGCAAACAAGTTCTCGCGGGGCAAGCTCAAGTGACCACTGTGCGGCACTAGCCAGAATCTAAATTCGCATTTGCAGTATTTGTTTGTACCCTCTCTCGCTCGCTCGCGCCCCCTCTCGCACAACAACACTCTCAATCGCTCTCCCTCTTTTTCCGTTTGGGGCCCTAGTAAACCTGTTTTTTGTTGAGAATTGTTTTTTTTATTGTATCTGCCACTTGCCACCAGGCCAGAAGAAGTATTTCACAAGTTTTGTTTGCTCGTTTTACTTGTTATTTTGTCGATATAACTTTTTCGCTCGTTGTGCTACCGTTTTGCCGTGTTGCTTTTTTTGTTGCTATTACCTTTTGCACAATCTTCGTTTACATGGAAGCGGCGACGACACGCGACTAAAGCACACAAACACACATCGGCCACATTTACGCACTTGGTTGGGGACGCGGACTGCAGCGGGTAACGGTAACCGAGAACAGTGTGGCCAGATGAAAATTCGGCTCTCTCCCTGAAAAATTTTAAGTAGTTGAAATTTCCGCCTAAAAAATCTAGGGGGTCCCCCAATCTCGATATTTTTTTATATTCGCACATCTGATATAGAGGTTCCCGGGCATCGATGTTTTTCGATATTTTAAAGCAAAACATCGATGTATCGTCGATATTAAAAAAAGAAATAACTAAAGCTTTATTCTCATTGAAACGCGGACATTCTTTCAAAGTCTCGTGCTTCCTTTTGGTTTGCCGTTGCAATAACTTTTATTTGCAAGAATTTGTAGTTCTAGAATTTGCCAGAGGTCTCAATCAAACTTCACTTACTTCTATGAAAACATACGGTTTAGGAAGTTCCCCATCGCCACACATTCACCGACGTTACCTAAACCATCAGTTTAATATCTAATAACCTTAAAGTACAATTATTAATGCACTTTAGAAATGTATTTTAATGATGTATCAAAAACATCGATATCGACGCATTTTCGCGAAAGTCTCGTATGTCGAAAAATCCAATTTTACAGGAGAAGCTTTTTTGTGCTTTAATCTCTTAGGAAGCACTATAGAAAAGACAAAATTGAAACTTAATTTTTATCGGAACTATAGGGTTTTCAGTTATAATATTTCACAGGGTAGTGAGACATTAGGTGCCTAACAATTTTGCATTAAAATCTCAATTTCGAAAAAAAGCGACATACGATACTTTCGCGAAAATGCGTCGATATATTGATAGATTCGAAATACACCTTATATTTGAACCACATCTGATACTCGAACCGCATCTTATATTCGAACCACACCTGATGAATAAACAGGCTTATCGCTATTTCGATATGCAGCAACAACTATCGATTATTACGTTCCATATTTGAGGCAAAAACTACCATCACTAGTGAGCGGTTTTTTTTAAACTAAATTATTGGCTGAAATTTATTTAAAAGTCCAATGAAGTGTGTGTTTTATTGAGTTTGTAAACAAACAAGCCGAGTCTGGAACAAATAATTTCAAAATAAAAACTTTATTTATTATTTAACTTAAATTATAATTTCCTAACATTCTGATAAACACAGAAACAGCAGCACCTTAGGGAAGCATCTTAGGGAAGCTCATTGAGAGCAAAATCCCAGTGAGTTGAGTAGGGGATGCTTGAGCAATTAACAAGTGTTGGAATTATTGATTTGCGGTTTTCCATATGGGAGTGCATTTAATAATAAAGGCACGCCGAAGTTTCTACACCCTTGCAGTTTTCAATTAGATCATAATTATGTACATATATAATTTTATTTTTACAGGCTTACAGTTACAGCTTTATGTATTATTTATATAAATTAAATTATTACAAAATTACCATATCTCAAAATTACCATATGGGCATTTCTATTCCATAAAGTGCGACATTTATACGAATTCAAACTAAAACAAAAACGTATGTTTCATTTTTTTAAGGTTACATTATAGTTCTTGCCTAAGCCTATAAGTGAATTTAACCACTTACTCAATTTTGACAAATTGAAAAAAAAAAAATGAAAGAATTCGGACGAGACGAATATATGTAGAAGTCACTTTTGCGGCGAGTTGTTTAAACGCTAATTTTAGCGAATTGTCATGCGTTTAATATTAATCAGAAATATAGAGTAGCTTATTTTATATTTACTTTTAAAACTGACAGACGGTCGATACCGTCTCCTTCTCTGCCTTGCAAACTTTTCACTAAAATTTTAATACCCTGCAAGAGTATAAAAAATATTAGAAGACACGAGGCATAAAAAACAGCTTTTCCTTTGCGTGGCGTATTACTTTTTTGGAAACCGCTACGAATATTTTGAATCTGCATAACTAATTTATATTATTATTATTTGACTCCTAATTGTCACGACTCTACAGCAGACGAAAATTGATCTTCTTTGCCAATCAGAACAAGACCTAGCAATTTTGCTGAATATTGAAACGCATTTCTACGATCAGCCGGGGATTATTAAAAACATGTCTCTCCATGTCAACAGCTGTTTTTTTTTTTTTTTTTAAATCCAAAGCTTCTTCTTTTGCTACTTCTATTTGTCACTTCTAGACGAGTCGATTTAGCCATCTCCGTCTTTCCGTTTCTACGTTAACCTAATTTGAGATATGGCAATTTTGTTGTTGTTTAAGATACATATCTATTTATTAATTTTGTTTAATTGGGTTCCTTATATTAATTTATTATATCTTATTTATATTTTTGTATATACGCTCTGTTATGTCTTCTGTCGGTTCTTAATGATTATTATAACTATAATAAGGCTATACAAACTTTGGCGTGCTGAAAGCACCCTACTTTTTGTTCTCTTTTAAATTGGCCGATCGCTTTTATGGCAGCAATACATGTAATTTAATGTTGATTATTTTTTATTTCTAAGTCGTAGAACATAATATATGGGTTTGATAAAATATGCTGACCTTATCTAAAACTTAGCATGCATGTTAGGGTGTTTTTTGCATTTAACCTAAATCCGAAAACCGATCCACAGTGGTTGGGCTTGTATGGAGACACGGCCAAAAATAGTTCTAGTTGATGTATCGTTACGAAATTAATACCAAAAATCAAGAAAAATGTTTTAAGTATATGTCCAAAAAATTGGCCATGTAGCACGTCTATATCATATAGCTGCCATAGGAACAATCTGTTAAAAATCAACATTTAGTATGAAAAACTTTTTTGTTTTTCAAAATATCTTAACAAATTTCACAGATAATATGTTTGAAACAGGTTTATGCATTCTTACCAAATTTGGTTAAAATCGGATGTCTATATCTTATAGCTCCCATACAAAATTTTTATAAAATTATTTTTTTCCAAGAGCTAAAATTAATTTTTTATCTCTTAATGACAATGTTGGTGAAATATAAGTGTCCAAAAGTAAAAAAAAAAATTATTAACTTATATATTGTGTATTTTATTTGTTTAGCAACAAATGTACACAGCTTAAGGGGGGTAAGGCTAATTCGGTGCAAAACTGCCCACTGTTCAAAAAAATGTTTTGGCGAAACGGCTAAAGTTAGCTTAATGATTTAAATACCATAAATTAACAAAACATTTGAGCCATTTTTTTTAAATTTTTGTATTAAAAAATATTTACAGGCCTACGCTATATTGCTAATCTCCTGAGTCCCCACAAATAAAAGTTGGTTTTCGGTGTACATCCTAACACTCCACAAAAACGTCCGATATCAAAAAAATGTATTGCATTCCTTAAAGAATTAGTGCCCCAAGGTACTTAAGAGACGTTTTTATTTTTAAAAATTTTCCCCGATTTTTTATCAAAATTGGAAAAAAATTAAGTTAATTTAAAAAAATATTTATATTAACATTAAAAATTTTAAAAAGCTTTACGTGAGTACCTGTACAATTAAATTTCAAAGTTATGTTCAAAATTTCAAACCGATTGGTTAAGTAGTTTTTGAGTTATAGAGTACACCGATTTTCAAAATGGCATTTTTCAGGAGAACGCTTTAAACTTTGTGATTTTCATACATCAAACACCAAACGACTTCCGTTCAACTACCCATAACTTCGTCAATGTTGTAATAATCGATGTAAAACTTTTACACAATATTTTAAGGATATTAAACCTTTATTTAACAAAAAAAAAAAAAAAAACCAAAAAAAAAAAATTTAAAAACCTTACCCTAACCTGTGTTAGTATTTTTAAGATTATAGGCACATAGGCAAATTTCGGCAAAATTTTTTTTACTATTTGTCACCTTAAAAGCGCGACAAACACATTGGCATACATATGAACTGTAGATTATTGTGGGGTCACAACTATAACTTTAGCTAAACATAAAAAATACGTTTAAAATATAGACTAGAAACATGATTATTTCACATGAATATAATGAAAACAATAATTATTTTTAATATATTAAATTATATCTCATTTTATAGAAAATACCTTGAACTTCAAAATCTATTACAAAAAATATTAATTTGGACACGTAATTAATAATCGGCCCACTTCAAAGTTCGGTTTGGTTGTGAAACACTCGCGATGCGCGTAGCTTCGCTTTGCAAATTAACACATCTTCACATCTTTAATTTAATTTTTAGAAAGTCCTGTTAGATTTAAAAAAAAATCTGGTATGCCACAAAGAAGTTTGGATATTTAAGAGACGATCTGTTTACTTTTCGTACATTTTTGTTGTAATAAATTTTTTTATTTTTGGCCTATGGGCGCAACCACTGTGCGATCTCGGCTTCCCGAAGTTAGCATCCTTTTTTGTTTAACTTAACTTGTCACATACACATTTTTAAAACTTGTTGTTGTTTAATTGCTTTTTCTTTATTTTTTATTGTTTTATGAATAGTTAAACTGCGGTTTTGCTATTACATTAATGTTATACATATTTATACGTAAAAAAATACTTAGTGAAAAAGACCGCAGAGATAACAAATTAAACAATTAAATTTAATAATTATCTTACTATTAGAGAGCAACTATCGAACCCTTTAATACATAACTCTATTAAATAAATTAGTGGAGAAAGGACTGAGAGATCAGCAATAGGATGCGGCTCTTGAACTGGCAGCCCATCGAAACAGGAAACCCAGGGTGATGCAACGAATCCGGAAATTGCTGGAAGGTTGCCGCTCCTCTCTGAGAAACAATGGCCAAGAGGTGGCGGGCAAAGCACACTGTGAAAGGTATCATAAGTTCGGAAAACTCGTTTTTCCATCTCCTCGCTGCTTAGTAATTTAAGTGAAAGCCACCGCACTGGAACGTTGACCCGCTGCTCCACTACACTACAAATGCCAAGGGGGAAGCTCTGGCTCTGTCTCTGGAGCAGCTGGAAAAGCATGCATTGATGCATGTGCCATAGGTCGAGGTTGTGGCGCTTCCTCGTTGCATGTTGCTAGCTGTTGGCGTTACCTATTATAGTCGGGCTCAGACACAGGCACAGTGGAAATTCCGTAAGAAAAATGTTATTTATCTGAGTTGATAGCAAGAGTTAAAGTTTTTAACAATTATGTCTTATTTATTTTCTAAGAACATTCATTCGAAAAAGAGGGGTTAAAAGTCATTTATTTTACACTAAATTCACACAATATACCCAACTATAACTCACTATCCAGCCCATGGTAAGTGTGAGCCCGCTTCCCGCCTTGCCATTGACTGCGGTCCCTGTGGCCTCCTCCTCGTAGATCGCGTCTTAAACTGCTGTCGCCTCGTGGCTTGGAGACATCAAGACACCGATGCGTGTTGCATCTTCAGCTGGCAACAAGTGGAAGCTGGAAACTGGTAACTGAGTGCTTGTCACAGCCACTACCTGGTGGCGGCAATGTTTTGGAAATTTGTTGCGTCTGGGTCGCTTGCAATTGACGCCAGTTTTGTTTAGTTTGTTTGTGTCGAAGCCGACTTTCCCGTCTCTCCCGTCGGTAGGGATTGTGTAAGAGGTGCTGATGCGGGATTTATGATGGCATTAGGGGCCGCTTAAATTGCACTTTCGGCTGGTAGGTGGCGAGTAGCGATCGCATCTGTAATTAGTGAAGTGTCGCCACGCCCCTGAAAACCGCCTCCATGGCAGCACTTTCCCAGTGCAAATACTAAGGGAAGCCACATATGCAAATGCTGTTTACATATGTGCAAGAGCTTAAGGCATTAAGACTAACAAGAAAGGAAGCTAACTTTAGCACACTGAAGTTCATATACCCTTGCAGTTTGCAATACGTTCACTAAGAACCGATCCATTCAGGTCAAATTAATAGAAAAACCAACAAGTTGAAGATAGCTTATTATCATTTTGTTTTTATTTTATTTATTTTTTTCTTTTCTTTTTTTTTTCTTTCTTTGTGAAATAACTAATGAAATACAAATTATCAAGTTCATTTTATTTACCTATACATATTATACATATTTACCGTTTGACAATTTTACGTTCGACACCTTAACTTTTTCTCTGTATCTACCAATCGTTCCTATGGCAACTATGTATATATATAGTCTTCCGATTTTTATAAAATTATAAACAACTAAAATTCTGAAATAATACAAAATGGAAATATAGGCATTTCTGTTACATTTGTTGATTTTTATACCCTTGCAGGGTATTATAATTTCAGTCAGAAGTTTGCAACGCAGTGAAGGAGACGTTTCCGACCCTATAAAGTATATATATTCTTGATCAGCATCAACAGCCGAGTCGATCTAGCCATGTCCGTCTGTCCGTCTGTCCGTCTGTCCGTCCGTCTGTCCGTCCGTCTGTCCGTCCGTCCGTCTGTCCGTTTCTACGCAAACTTGTCCCTCAGTTTTAAAGCTATCTGAATGAAACTTTGCATATAGTCTTCTATATACTCTCACTGCTATATATGTCGGAACGGGCCGGATCGGACGACTATATCATATAGCTGCCATACAAATGCTCGATATATTTTTAGAAAAAAAATTATAACTTTGTTGTTTTTCAACATTTTGGCACCATTTTTTAGATATGACCATTTTATATTATTTCTGAATTTTAATAAAAATTTTATGAAAATCAGACGACTATATCATATAGCTGCCATAGGAACGATCGGGAAATTAATAGAAAAAAAATTATATATTCGTTGTTTTTCAACGTATTTTCATCTACTCCGGGATATAAGCTTATTTTATTATTCTAGAATTTTGGTATAAATTTCAACAAAATCGGACAACTAAATATAAATATAAATATAAACTTTTTATATTAAATTGTAATTTTTTCCAACACACTTTACTTAACGCCTCTCGTTTAAAAGTTGTTATAAAAAAATCACGGCCATTTTTAGGAGTTTTTCACCAAAATAATAAAAACTCGCGTTTTTTCGAATTCTTATTCGAATATTTTGAAATATGTTTTAGAATATGCTAGACTCTGTCAATATTGATCAATTGGAACACCTGTAATGTGACTGTATTGAAACAAAGATTAATTATATTTATTTTAATATATATTTTTTTAATTTTTCCAATCTTTTCTATGTCAGCTTTGTAAAGTAGTTTGTAATGTTTTATTCCGAGTGCTTTAATACTGAGAGACTAGTTTGTGGAGAAACGGAGAACCTCCGAGAACCGGCTAGCTCGACTCTGCTGTTGATGCTGATCAAGAATATACATATATATACATGACCCTATAAAGTCAGAAGGGTCTCTTTCACTGCGTTGCAAACTTCAAAATAAAATTATAATACCCTGCAAGGGTATAAAAAGTGAAGCCGGTACGAATTTTTTGTGTTGAACAAACAGAAGCAGCAGTGGTGATGATGACGATGACCTGAAGAAAGCATATTGCGAGCTTGATTGGAGTTACCACATAGGACGTTGATGTAATAAACACAAATAATACCTTTATCATAAAAAAAAATATTTGCTATAAAGTGTGTCTAAATACTGAGGAACTAGAAGCTGAGGAATCTGGTCTATATTTATTAACCGATCAATTCGTGGGTTTTGTCGATGAGTACAGGCAACTAACGTCTTCGATTTTGAACAATAAAATAAAAAAATTAATATCCCAAATATCAAACATAACAAAAAATTATATTCTTTCCTTTTATTATTATGTTTTTTTTTTTTTTTACTACCAGGTGTTTATTAAACATCATGGCTAACACTAAATATTACTGCACGTACTATTTCAATTATATAAAGTGTATATCTCTTTATATTTTTCTTAGTCTAATCCTTTTACATTTGAACTTTGATATATCGAAAATCCCAAAATTTCTGGCTCTTGTAGGTATTATTTACCTACTTACTCTTAATTACAAAAAATAAGTACCAACTTTTTGATGATATGCCAGTAATAACGTTATTAGCTTTTGAGATTGTGATTTATTATTGCTATATTTTTTGGGCTATATTGTTGCTGTGCCCCAGAGGCGCCTTGGTTGGGAAACACCGACTGGCATATGGCATCAGGTAACTGGCCATTTCCCTTGCCTGATCCTCAATGGTCGGTGACGAATCAGGCCTTGGCCAATCGGCAAGCGCTTTTTTGGCCATGTTTTTTGGAATACATTTTCGTCTGGCGTCACGCCCAAGGTAGTGATGGATCGGCATGAGGAATGGAGCCGAAGCCTGCCAGCTTTGTCATCGGTTTCATCGATTACAGGCGGACAGACTGGACTGGGTCTGGGGATGACTCCCCTCTGAAATGCAAATCAAATAATGGCATCAATTTTTACAGCGCCACAAGTTGCAAGTTGGCCTGATGCTGCTGCGACTGCTGCTGCGACTACTGCTGTTGCGGATCGTGACGGGATTATGCAATGGGAAAAAGGTGCAGCGGCGACCAGTCTGCAGTTTACAGTCTGGGGGATGCGCCTGCGCCGATGCCTGTGCAAACTAATCTCTTTGGGCCAGAAACAACCACAAACTGTTGCAGATGCGACAATCGAACGATGTTGCAGTTATGACTTTCGTCTGCTGCCATCCCCATGCCCATAGCCAGTGGAAGCGCAAATCGAAAGCCAGACTCATGCCCATTCCCTGATTGCTCCCCCTGACTAATGGCGCGATGATGCAGCAGCATTTGGCCCACATTGCGGCGCGTCTGTTGGGTGGCTCCTCACCCTGCTTGCACTGGGAGAAAATGCTCGGTATGCTCATGGAATATAATCATATTTGTATGCCTGGCAAGTATCTATTTATCCTATCCTTTTACAAAATATGTAATTTCATAAATTTGCTTGATTTGCAAGGACACACCTCAGCACAACTGTGTGAACCAAACGAGCGATATTTTGCGAGCTCTTCTGACTGAAGATCTGTATATTGAGTAAGATAAATGATATGTTTTTTCGGCCAGTGCAGCATCTCCAACATCTGCGGCGGTGGTGCGCGTGGAAAATGGTTTTTCCTCATGCTGCTGTTGGCTTTTTCTCTTACCAGGCAGCGCTTTTCCGGTTAATATCTGTGGTGTAGTGGTGTTATGTTGCTCCTTGGTTTCGTATAAAAGCGGCGACCGCTATCGGTGGTCATGTCAGTTGTGGATTCGCCGCGTTCCGTAAAGCGCCATAGACAACGAGTTAACCCAAGCGGAGCGTTCCTCGCAATGAAAGTACGTCAAGAATGTAAAGATACTCACTGCGCAGCGTGAGCCGCTCTGTCGCAAATAATGAAAACCCATAACAAAGATATATTGGTGAATTTCGGCCTAAAGTTAATTAATATCAAATAATAAAATCTGTGCGGAGGAGATATTGATCTGAATCGGATGATAAACATGAAATCCTTCTAATCCCATCACCAAGTTATAATATTGTTTCCGTCTGTGGCCAACTAAAATAATAGTTTCGTATGTCCTTTTATAACTTCGCAAATAATAATCTTCATTCTTGATGAGTATCAGCCGAATTGATCTAGCCATGTCCGTCTATTCGTTTCTGAGCAAACTAGTCTCTCGATTTTATGAAAGAGACTTTGTGGATATTCTTTCTATTGCAGTTTATATGGGCCTCATCTGGACACCGTATCCTTTGACGGTCATAGAAACTAACCGAATTTATTTTGAATAAGTATCCATCCTGAGATTTATAGTTTCGCAATTCCCGAATATTCCTACAAGGTCCCTTAAAAGTGCCAGAAAACAAAGGATACTGAACAATGTTCTTTATCGATTCTATAAATTTTTACCTTTATTGTTGTTACAACTCAAATAACAACTTTTGAGTGTTCAGTTTAAAATTGCAAGGGAATTTCGGCTTTCCGACTTTACACTTCCTTTCTTGTCTTGCTTTTATGTTCTAGAAAAGTATTTTCGAGCGCTTCGGTGTAATCCTTTCGAGTCTTTTAAAATAAGCCCTGAAAATCGGATTTATATTTTATTTTATGCAATCGTTAAAAACTGGGGATTCCACATTCGATAAAACTTGAATGTAGCTCTCTTACTTGTTTCGGTTTTCGCGTGTTTCTCATCCAATTCCCCTTTACCTTCTAGGCCTTTGTGTGTCTCCTGCTCATCGGAGTAGCCAGTGTCTCAGCCAAGCCCAAGCCAGGCGGTGGCGGTGGGTGGTCTTCTGGAGGAGGAGGTGGTGGCGGCGGCGGCTGGTCGTCCGGAGGAGGAGGCGGTGGCCATGGAGGCGGCGGCGGTGGGGACGTGCAGATCATCAAGGTGATCACGGAAAGCGGCGGTGGCGGCGGAGGCGGCGGTTGGGCTTCAGGAGGAGGCGGCGGCGGTGGAGGTTGGTCATCGGGAGGAGGAGGAGGAGGCGGTGGCTGGTCATCCGGAGGCGGCGGCGGTGGAGGCTGGTCATCGGGTGGAGGAGGCGGTGGCCATGGAGGTGGTGGCGGCGGCGGCGGCGACGTAAAGCTCATCAAGATCATTAGCCTGGGATCCGGAGGAGGCGGCGGTGGCCATGGAGGCGGAGGCGGCGGCCATGGAGGCGGAGGCGGCGGTGGCTGGTCTTCGGGAGGAGGAGGTGGTCATGGAGGTGGCGGAGGAGGCGGCACCAAGGTCATCAAGATCATCAAGCTGAGCAGCGGCGGCGGAGGAGGCGGCGGTGGACACGGAGGCGGCGGTGGCTGGTCCTCGGGAGGAGGAGGCGGCGGTGGCGGCTGGCAGCCAGCCGGTGGTTGGGCCTAAACAAGGACACAACCCGAACTTCGTTCACTCTTGTAAATACTGTACATTTTCGATTCTGTAGATTCCGTAGACTCTTCGTATTTCATTTTGTTTTTGTTACTTTGATCACCTGACCCCCAACCCAGAACTGTTGAATAATAAAGCCTGACAAATTTGTATTATATTCCGCGAGAAGCGGTCAACACAATAAATGTACCCAAAAACTGTTACAAATTAATTTTGAATTATTTTTCTGCAGAGAAGAATTGTTATTTTTTTTAATCAGAAGTTAAGAAGAATTGTCATCGAGGTGAGGTTTAAAACATTTATTGAAAATCTACCTACGTTGCCATATAAATTTATCATTCCTATGAAATAGTAATAATAGTCTTTTACCAATGGGAAACTACTTTCACCATAAGTTAAATAGGCTATATTTATGGCTAGAAAAGATTAGGGACCCATTCTGAATCTTAACTAACGTAGTCCAAGGCGCCATAAGCGTTTATCAAAAATTAAAAAACTAGTCAAGCCGAGAGGAAAAACGTCTAAACATTCCAAAAGTTGCATACTTTACAACTGCATCGAAATCGGTGCAAGCACTAGCCAGTTTGGTATTAAATATTTTGCTAAAAAATCGAATGATGAAGCGAGTGGTATGTGGGAAAGTTAGGCAAGAAAAAGGCCTATTGACCAATAAGCACATATTACTCTGTGCATTTTTTGAATAGAATAGACTTTTTCGAACAACTTTGTTGGTTGGAATAAGTATTTTGACAAAACGTTTGTGTTCTGAGGCTGTTGAGCGCGTGCAAATCAACCAACGCTTAAATTTAATCATTTAAATATTTATTTATTTAAAAAACTAAGATTTGTTAAAATTTATCTAAATTATCTTTAACAAGAAAGGTTGCTTACTTACGGCATGCCGAAGTTTGTATACCCTGTATAACAGGAAATATTATATATCAAAATTGTATATTTTTACATAGCGTATTACAACTAAAAATTAAATATTTAATCGTATTAAATAAGTATATTTTAGATTTTAAATAACTAATATATTAAACAATATAAATGTTTTTAACAGTAACATCAAATTTCATTACATTTACTTTTACTTATTATATTTACATATAGTCTTCCGATTTTCATAAAATAAAAACGAAATTCTGTAATATTAAAAAATTACTACATCTCAACGAAGATGGAAATATGTTGAAAAACAGCAAAGTTACAAGTTTTCATATTACCAATTCTTTTCTTTTTTCCAAGAAAGAATATTGGTTAAGTGCTTTTAAAGTTTATTTTATTTATATGCAAAAAATAAACAAGAAATGAACCTAACTTCGGCACACCGAAGTTTGTATAAAGTTGCAATTTGACCATGAAGAATTGAGCCATTCTAGTTATATTATGAAAAAAAAAAAATAAATAAAAGGAAATATATAAAAGTTGTATATTTATACATAGCATATAATATCTATTAATTTCCTGATCGTTCCTATGGCAGCTATATAGTCATCCGATTTTCATAAAATTAAAAACGAAATTCTGAAATAATAAAAAATGGCAATATCTAAAAAAAACAGCCAAGTTATTTTTTTTCTAAAAATTTGTTAATCGTTTCTATGGCAGCTATGTATATGTTATAGTCATCCGTTTTGGCCCGTTCCGACATACATATGTATGTATATAGCAGTGAGAGTATTCAGAAGACTATACGCAAAGATTCATTCAGTTATGTATGTAGTTTCAAAACTGAGGGACTAGTTTGCTTAGAAACAGACATACGGCCTGTCGTACGGATTTTGAAGTTGTTAGTTAAAATTGTCATTTTCCTCTTAAGTTAATTTGAAAATAAAAATTGACTATAACTTTTATTTAAAAAATGGATAATAAAAATTGAATTGCAATAACTTTTTAACTAAGCGACCTATTGCTGAGGAGGGCTCGTTGCAAAAACATAAAAAGCATCGTCTATCCCCGGGTATCTGGCCGTTTGTTATTACTAAAAAATAATAATCCATGACGAATACTGTTTTGGTATTTTGCATAGTTAAAGTAATAAGCAACATTCCCATTTGTTCATATGCAGAAATCATTAAGCTTTAATTCTGCATACTTGAGAGCTGCCCGAGATAAGATCACCTTCTGCAGTCAAGGTCGACGGACGCTTCTTTACCCCAATCCAAGTGTGTCATGCAAATCGAAGAACAAAGTTGTTTTTTTATCACATTAATCGCCTCGATATCGATTATTTTGTTTTTTACTAGGCACAAATACAAAGAAGAGAAAGAGATGAGAGTTCCAGGGGTTACCAGTTTCCTGCATAGGCATTGGCCGAGGCCTTGGCATAGGCGCCACTACCTCCACCGCCGCCACCGTTTCCACACGAGTGGCAGCCGCCGCCATTGTTGCCACCTCCTCCTCCGTAGCTCCAACTGTTGGCGCTGCTGCTGGCATAGGAGCCACTGCCGCCGGATCCACCACCGCCGCCACCCCACTGTGTGGGTTGTCCACCGCCGCCTCCATGGTAACCACCACCTCCATTGTAGCCACCTCCACCGCCACCGTGGTAGCCACCTCCTGCGCCACCGTGGTAGCCTCCTCCGCCATGGCCACCGCCGCCACCACCCCACTGGTGGCCACCTCCTCCTCCTCCACTGTAGACGGGCTTTACAATGTAGACATCGATAGTGCTGCCACCTCCGTGGCCTTGGCCTCCTCCTTGATAGCCTCCTCCGCCGCCTCCGTGATAACCACCACCGCCTCCTCCGTGATAACCACCACCGCCTCCTCCATTATAAACACCACCGCCTCCTCCGTGATAGCCACCACCTCCGCCGTTAAAGCCGCCTCCTCCGCCTCCACCCCAGCCGAATCCACCGCCGCCGCCTCCTCCCCAGCCTCCGCCGATGCCACCACCACCAAAAAGTAGCTTCTTCTTCAAACCCAGCAGCGAGGGCTGGGCAAAGTCCACACAGCTGGCCAGGACTAGCAGCGACAGGCTGCACATTTGCCAAAGTTTCATCTTAGTTCCGGTTCCGATCGGCTTGGCTTTGCACTTGGATTCGATTCTCGTCAGGTTTAGTTCGATGTCGCGGCTGGTGATCAACATCATTGGTCGGCGGTGGGCTTTCAGATTTATAAGATCCACCCCATTGTTTGTTTGGGAACGGGTATAGATAGGTATGGGGATGGATAGTATAGAATCGAAGTGGGACTGCTCTCGTGGGAAGCTCGGGGGAGTTACACAACATTAATTACTCTCGATGGCCCAGCGGCTGCTACGCAGGGAGACCTGACTCGTTGATGCTCTGACTAGAGATAAATATCGAAAGTAAAAGTCCAATATAAATATCGCCTCAATATCATATTAAAACTACGTATATTTAAAAATTTTAAATGTCGAAAAACTTTGCATGTGATCGCAAAAAAAAAAAAACATATAGTGGAATGCGTGATACTTTGAAATTTTAGGATATGTATACAAATATCACTCATTCGCCCTGCCTGGATAACTCCATATTAATGTGAGTGTCCGAGTGATGTAGTAATAATACCCCTATTTCCCATAGGGTAACGGCAATTACATGCATGACATCTGCTGGAAAATCCCTCTTACTCATCTTCCAAAGATGAGAGAGGGAGAATGATGGATGCCAGAGATCTAAAATTAAAAAGAGGCAAAGCAAACGATTTTTAAAGCTAAGCATTTGGGGTCAAATTACGTCATAACTCACAACAGATATCTCACTACAAGTAACGACTATAAATATGTAAATGAAATATACACAAGCTTTGCTGATAACTTGGTTTGTTGGCTTACAAAGCTCATCAGTATGTGGGAAGTCAATTGAAAAATCCCCGCCAAAACGAGAAGAATTTATTAAGGAAGTCTTGAAATCACTTTGGTGGAAGTCCCAGAAATTCCTGAGAGATTAAAGATCCGGATTTCAAGATTGCTCGGGCGTTTGTACTATGAAGCCTCCAGAGCTTTATAACATCCAAGACTTTGCTTTACGCTCTTAGTCCCTAATCCTTCATTAAGGTTTAGAAATGTCCTTCAAATCATAAACTATCTTTGTTGTTTAGTTTGCAAGAGTAAAGGATGTTTATTTAAATAAAAACAATGTAGGAGAAATATGTTTTTAAGACAGGAGGTTGTAGAATGTTTGAAGGAGGGATCAGTGTTTCTCGGAAGGAACACACTGCATCCAGATCTTGGAGCCAGGGGCAGTTGCTGGGAGTATCTTCGGTTCGGGTTTGGGTTTTAGGTCTCTCTAGGATGTCTAGAATTTACCAGCCACCGCCACCATGCTTGCCACCACTGCCGCCGCCGCCGCCACCGCCACCATGCTTGCCGCCACCTCCGTTGCCACCACCACCATGCTTGCCACCTCCTCCTCCACCACCTCCGTGCTTGCCACCGCCTCCGCCTCCACCTCCTCCTCCGTTCTTCTGCCAGCCTCCTTGGCCACCGCCTCCGTTTCCGCCGCCACCTCCATTCTTTTGCCAGCCTCCTTGGCCTCCGCCTCCGTTTCCTCCACCTCCATTCTTTTGCCAGCCTCCTTGGCCGCCGCCACCACCTCCACCGCCATTGCCGCCGGCGGACACGATAGCGAAGAGGACGCCGAAGAGGAAGATAGCCAGCAGAGCGAAGCGCATGATGTAAAGCTGCTGAGTTGACTTTTTTTGATGAGAGTGGAAACTGTAACTGCAGAGGAACTGGCTCCGAAGAAACTGATGTCTTATCCAGGGCCTAGCTCCAGTTTATATAGTCGACGTCGGAACGGATTTGGATCGGGGATCCGATATAGCCAAGTCATGCTGCAGCATAGGAAACCGGCAGAGCTTCCAACAATGAACTTGATCTTGGCCAAAAGCAATTAATAAATACTGCTAAGAGCCATGTGTCTGTGTCATTTATCACTTGTAATATTATTTGCCTTGCACTTTCACAGCCTCCCAAGTTCTAGGGTACTTTTTGAGTATCATAGGGAAAAATTCAAACTGAATCTTCTACAAAGCAGCTGCATACAAAATTGTCTATGAAAGTTTTAGGCGCCGTCAATGGCGGGAGAGCTGGGAGCTCCCAAAAGTATTCTCTCTTAACCAACCAAAGTTGTTTGTTGTTTTTTACAGGGTATAGAAAATTCTAAATGTGAACTTCTCCGCAAAATAAATTAAAAAATAAACAAAACAAAACAACAAATGAGCCCACCAGATCGGAGAGTAAAGCAACAAACATTTAAACAAATAGAATGTTCGTCTCGAGTATCCGAGTGGGCACTTTATTTGACTCAAAGTAGTTACACGTGACCTTGGAGCTACTGCACACTGGGGAATACGAACGAAGATATGATATATCAACAGAACTATCCCGCGAAATACTATATAAAAAAAATATCTCGAAATTTAAAATATTTAAAATCATCTTATTTCATAGTATTGTTCCTTACATTATATTTGCAGTTCTTCACTTGTTATGTGGCATCAGAAATATGACAATTAAAATCTAAACAACATTTATTATTTTGGAATGAATCCACAATCTGAAATTCATTAAATTCCGGATTTACTTGCTGCTTAACCAAAATGTATATTTCAACCTCAGAGCAAAAATATTTTATGGTTTATGGCACAGAAAATGTTTTTTTTTGTTGCGAAATAATATTTATAAATTGGTATAAATTAGAAAAATACAAATAAAAGATACTCCCTGCGAGGGAAAAGCGCAAGTGCGGAGAAGCGGCAAAAGGCAAAAAGTTGTTGACGATGCCAACAACACGCGGTGTTCCCAAGCGGTCCCCCATCTAAGTACTAACCGCGCCCGACGCTGCTTAATTTCGGTGATCGGACGAGAACCGATGTATTCAGCGTGGTATGGTCGTTGGCGAAAGTCGCAGGTCTTAACTGGACCCTTATGGCACCTTTCGGCCATGCTACTCGAAGGCGATTTATTTGTATCTGCACCTTTAAGACAAGTATCTCAGACACAGGGCTGGGGGTGGCCCTTTTGCTTTGGGATAGGGGGAAATTCATTGTTTTGCTTGCTGCTTAACCAAAATGTATATTTCACCCTCAGAGCAAAAATATTTTATAGTTTATGGCACAGAAAATGTTTTTTTTGTTGCGAAATAATATTTAGAAATTGGTATAAATTAGAAAAATACAAATAAAAGATACTCCCTGCGAGGGAAAAGCGCAAGTGCGGAGAAGCGGCAAAAGGCAAAAAGTTGTTGACGATGCCAACAACACGCGGTGTTCCCAAGCGGTCCCCCATCTAAGTACTAACCGCGCCCGACGCTGCTAAATTTCGGTGATCGGACGAGAACCGATGTATTCAGCGTGGTATGGTCGTTGGCAAAAGTCGCAGGTCTTAACTGGACCCTTATGGCACCTTTCGGCCATGCTACTCGAAGGCGATTTATTTGTATCTGCACCTTTAAGACAAGTATCTCAGACACAGGGCTGGGGGTGGCCCTTTTGCTTTGGGATAGGGGGAAATTCATTGTTTTGCTTGCTGCTTAACCAAAATGTATATTTCACCCTCAGAGCAAAAATATTTTATGGTTTATGGCAAAGAAAATGTTTTTTTTTGTTGCGAAATAATATTTAGAAATTGGTATAAATTAGAAAAATACAAATAAAAGATACTCCCTGCGAGTGAAAAGCGCAAGTGCGGAGAAGCGGCAAAAGGCAAAAAGTTGTTGACGATGCCAACAACACGCGGTGTTCCCAAGCGGTCCCCCATCTAAGTACTAACCGCGCCCGACGCTGCTTAATTTCGGTGATCGGACGAGAACCGATGTATTCAGCGTGGTATGGTCGTTGGCGAAAGTCGCAGGTCTTAACTGGACCCTTATGGCACCTTTCGGCCATGCTACTCGAAGGCGATTTATTTGTATCTGCACCTTTAAGACAAGTATCTCAGACACAGGGCTGGGGGTGGCCCTTTTGCTTTGGGATAGGGGGAAATTCATTGTTTTGCTTGCTGCTTAACCAAAATGTATATTTCACCCTCAGAGCAAAAATATTTTATAGTTTATGGCACAGAAAATGTTTTTTTTTTGTTGCGAAATAATATTTAGAAATTGGTATAAATTAGAAAAATACAAATAAAAGATACTCCCTGCGAGGGAAAAGCGCAAGTGCGGAGAAGCGGCAAAAGGCAAAAAGTTGTTGACGATGCCAACAACACGCGGTGTTCCCAAGCGGTCCCCCATCTAAGTACTAACCGCGCCCGACGCTGCTTAATTTCGGTGATCGGACGAGAACCGATGTATTCAGCGTGGTATGGTCGTTGGCGAAAGTCGCAGGTCTTAACTGGACCCTTATGGCACCTTTCGGCCATGCTACTCGAAGGCGATTTATTTGTATCTGCACCTTTAAGACAAGTATCTCAGACACAGGGCTGGGGGTGGCCCTTTTGCTTTGGGATAGGGGGAAATTCATTGTTTTGCTTGCTGCTTAACCAAAATGTATATTTCACCCTCAGAGCAAAAATATTTTATAGTTTATGGCACAGAAAATGTTTTTTTTTTGTTGCGAAATAATATTTAGAAATTGGTATAAATTAGAAAAATACAAATAAAAGATACTCCCTGCGAGGGAAAAGCGCAAGTGCGGAGAAGCGGCAAAAGGCAAAAAGTTGTTGACGATGCCAACAACACGCGGTGTTCCCAAGCGGTCCCCCATCTAAGTACTAACCGCGCCCGACGCTGCTAAATTTCGGTGATCGGACGAGAACCGATGTATTCAGCGTGGTATGGTCGTTGGCAAAAGTCGCAGGTCTTAACTGGACCCTTATGGCACCTTTCGGCCATGCTACTCGAAGGCGATTTATTTGTATCTGCACCTTTAAGACAAGTATCTCAGACACAGGGCTGGGGGTGGCCCTTTTGCTTTGGGATAGGGGGAAATTCATTGTTTTGCTTGCCGCTTAACCAAAATGTATATTTCACCCTCAGAGCAAAAATATTTTATGGATTATGGCAAAGAAAATGTTTTTTTTGCAAAATAATATTTAGAAATTGGTATAAATTAGAAAAATACAAATAAAAGATACTCTCTGCGAGGGAAAAGCGCAAGTGCGGAGAAGCGGCAAAAGGCAAAAAGTTGTTGACGATGGCCAACAACACGCGGTGTTCCCAAGCGGTCCCTCATCTAAGTACTAACCGCGCCCGACGCTGCTTAATTTCGGTGATCGGACGAGAACCGATGTATTCAGCGTGGTATGGTCGTTGGCGAAAGTCGCAGGTCTTAACTGGACCCTTATGGCACCTTTCGGCCATGCTACTCGAAGGCGATTTATTTGTATCTGCACCTTTAAGACAAGTATCTCAGACACAGGGCTGGGGGTGGCCCTTTTGCTTTGGGATAGGGGGAAATTCATTGTTTTGCTTGCTGCTTAACCAAAATGTATATTTCACCCTCAGAGCAAAAATATTTTATAGTTTATGGCACAGAAAATGTTTTTTTTTTGTTGCGAAATAATATTTAGAAATTGGTATAAATTAGAAAAATACAAATAAAAGATACTCCCTGCGAGGGAAAAGCGCAAGTGCGGAGAAGCGGCAAAAGGCAAAAAGTTGTTGACGATGCCAACAACACGCGGTGTTCCCAAGCGGTCCCCCATCTAAGTACTAACCGCGCCCGACGCTGCTTAATTTCGGTGATCGGACGAGAACCGATGTATTCAGCGTGGTATGGTCGTTGGCGAAAGTCGCAGGTCTTAACTGGACCCTTATGGCACCTTTCGGCCATGCTACTCGAAGGCGATTTATTTGTATCTGCACCTTTAAGACAAGTATCTCAGACACAGGGCTGGGGGTGGCCCTTTTGCTTTGGGATAGGGGGAAATTCATTGTTTTGCTTGCTGCTTAACCAAAATGTATATTTCACCCTCAGAGCAAAAATATTTTATAGTTTATGGCACAGAAAATGTTTTTTTTTTGTTGCGAAATAATATTTAGAAATTGGTATAAATTAGAAAAATACAAATAAAAGATACTCCCTGCGAGGGAAAAGCGCAAGTGCGGAGAAGCGGCAAAAGGCAAAAAGTTGTTGACGATGCCAACAACACGCGGTGTTCCCAAGCGGTCCCCCATCTAAGTACTAACCGCGCCCGACGCTGCTAAATTTCGGTGATCGGACGAGAACCGATGTATTCAGCGTGGTATGGTCGTTGGCAAAAGTCGCAGGTCTTAACTGGACCCTTATGGCACCTTTCGGCCATGCTACTCGAAGGCGATTTATTTGTATCTGCACCTTTAAGACAAGTATCTCAGACACAGGGCTGGGGGTGGCCCTTTTGCTTTGGGATAGGGGGAAATTCATTGTTTTGCTTGCCGCTTAACCAAAATGTATATTTCACCCTCAGAGCAAAAATATTTTATGGATTATGGCAAAGAAAATGTTTTTTTTGCAAAATAATATTTAGAAATTGGTATAAATTAGAAAAATACAAATAAAAGATACTCCCTGCGAGGGAAAAGCGCAAGTGCGGAGAAGCGGCAAAAGGCAAAAAGTTGTTGACGATGCCAACAACACGCGGTGTTCCCAAGCGGTCCCCCATCTAAGTACTAACCGCGCCCGACGCTGCTTAATTTCGGTGATCGGACGAGAACCGATGTATTCAGCGTGGTATGGTCGTTGGCGAAAGTCGCAGGTCTTAACTGGACCCTTATGGCACCTTTCGGCCATGCTACTCGAAG